GCCGTACTTGTTGTCGGGCACCGGTCGGAGTTCCTCGTCGTCCAGCTCGAATGGAAACTCGTCGTCGCAACACCGCGTGACCTCGAGGATGAGGGCGACGATGATGAGGCCGTCATCAGCAGCAGCAGCAGCAACAGGGGCATCAGCAGGGGCAGCAGGCGGTGCTGTAGAAGAGCTGGTGCTGCTACACGCAAACAGCAAGACTGACTCATCCAGCACATTGTATCATCATCATCAGCAGCAGAAGCAGCAGCAGCAGCAGCAACAGCAACAGCACCCACCGGGTCCGTGGATATGCCTAGCCTTTCATCAGCGAATGACGTCGACTGCCTCGACCTTGTTGTCCTCATCGTCGTCGTCCCGTCATGGCTGCTCGCCAGCATCCAGTCTCATCGTCCCCGGCCCTTCTGCTGGTCATCCGCGAGGACGAGACACCAGCGGCGTCGAATTGCAACTCGACGAGACTCCGAGTGGGAACAAGAAGAACGGTGAGGCCAATGATGAGGCACACCACAAGCAACAGCAACTGCAAAAACAACAACAACAACGACTGCACTCGATCGAAATCAGACAGCAGCCGAACCCCGCCTACACGCTGTCGGTCTACTCGGGCCTGCATCGATTCGGCGGTGAGTCCTTCGATGTACAGCATATATATTGATACATGCAGTTTGATGATCGAGTTATTGACCATATATGACACTGGACCTGTACCTATCACGTGTATACAGACAGACTGTGGTTCCAGTCGAGGAGGCAGGCGGGCTGTCCATTCACACTGTCCCTGCTGCTGGACTCGGTGCTGACTGCCCGCGTGTCCACGTGCTGCGAGCGGAAGCACGCTGCCGGCCCGGGCAGGCCACAGCTGCACCTGCTGGGGGCCAACTTCACCCTGGTCCAAGTGCTTTACGTCAGTAACAACAATAATAATAATAATAATAATAATAATGATGATGATATCACTGGCCGGCTGCAGCCATCGTGTCTCAGGTAAGAGTGAAAGCCATTGTATATACATGACTATATACAGCATGCATGTTCTGTAATGTACTCTACTACTGTATATATTGTAGTGATGATGATGCCCGTTTATGTATTACACAGCAACCAGCAGCAGTTCACGTAAAATGATAGCAAAAGGTGTATACTGTATACAGAGACTACGTAATACCGACCGGAAAATTATCGGGAGAAGCTGATGATACGTACAATAAAAATGAAAACGGATTTCGTTCAAGGTTTTCATGAGGCATCTTTCGAAATGTTATATTGCTGCTCTGCCGGAACTGCCGCGTTCAAGACAAAGTTGGGATCCTGCTGAATAAATACAGTATACTGTAGTTACATATTCCCGTGCTATACATGCTCATATGATGAATCATCGATGATCATTTCGTACTTGGGCTTCAGTTGCGCTACTTGAAGAAAAAAAAAAATTACTGTACGTAGTGCGTTCAATAACACACTGTAATCATAGTGCTCGTATTCATCGAGAAAATAGATTGAATCAATTCGGAAAAAAAGTGAATGAATATAGACGCAGCATGCTCATTTTTATACTGTATGCAGTATATGGTACGTCATGCAGGAATAGGCAAAGTAATGTGATATCGCAGTGTACATACAAATACTGTACAGTGCAATGCTTGCAGTTGCACAATGGCTGGCGATGCTCGTCTCAGAACACACCGCAAAAAGGCCAAGGACCTGTCTGAGAAGATCCACCAACTCGCCAAACTGACGCAGCACGTCAACAGCAGCAGCAACAGACAGGCAACCCTGAAGCCAACATCATCATCATCATCATCAGTGATGCCCCGTCGTCACCAGCAGCAACAGCACAATGACCACCAGCAGCAGCAGCCATCGTCTCGAAACCTCCCGCAAAATATGCACGAGCATTGTTATGATGAGGAGCAGCCCTCAGCATCGTCCTCGTCGGCCCAGCAGCAGCAGCAACAACAAGAGCAGAGTCGTGTTACGGGTGGTGGTGGTGGTGCGAGAACGATCCGTGCTGATGAGGATGAGCAGCAGCAGCAGCAGGACCACCAACAGAAAAGCAGAGTGGACACGAGTTCTCATCCTGACAATGGTCAACATCATCATCATAATCATCATCTGCTGCACAGTGCTGGCAGGGATCCAAATCCGAAGATAATAAAGGCAGAGCAGCAGGCGGGAATAAATTGCTGTCCGACGTCACCGGGAGATCCCTTCGACAGGAGTGACGATGAGTACTACCACAATTTGCACAGAAGAATAGCCCAGTACTTGCTGGTATCCCCTTATCCCCTCGCCGAAACATCATCAATCGGGTACGTGTGAGTGATTTGAGACCATCATCATGATCAAGCAGATGGCCTAATACAGTCAGTATGTAACATGTACAGTAGCATGAAACCCGCCTTTCGGTATTCTTATCACATGAAAAAATAATAATACTGTACAGTACTGTTTACATGATACAATATTTTCTCTGGTAAGCATGCAGCAGGGCTATATCCAGTACTGTACTACGGTATCTTCCATATTTCTTGTTCTATATTATTCTTCCCATAGTGAACGTCTAAATGATTTTAAAAACCTTCATTTTAAGAATTGGTGAAAACTCATCTTTCTATTTTTTTTCAATCATCAGCAGCCTTTATGAGCAACCAGTTGAAGATGCCAATGATGCTGATGAGAGCCAAGATGTGCGGGAGGATGAGCAAGATGAAACGGTGCAAGGCAGTGATACAGACGTGGAAGAAGTGGAGGAGGAGCATGAAGACGAAGAACCACAAGACCTAGAAATCCTGGAATTGGGAAAGGCCAGCAGCAGATGTACTGAAAATGGAGGTGATGATGACGACGACGTCGTCAGCACGGACGCCCTGTGAAAATGATCTACGGACGTTTGAGCAGCATTGTTTTCTTCCCTCCCTCCCTCCTTCGGATCTCATCATCCATGATCCACCGGTATGGAAATGCTTCGTCGCCTTTTCCCCCCATTTGATGCGAGGCAATTCCTACATTATAGGCCTCACTGCTGATGGACGCCTCATCCTCCTCTTCAACATAAGTGCTCACGTGTCCTTCCTTTCCCCCCCCCCCCCCCTGTCATGCACCAGCAGTGGCTTCGCAGTGCAAGAGAAAACGGATCTTTCTCCGAATATAATGCCTCCAGTATTTTTTGCGGCGTCGAGTGAGTCAATATTATTGGTAGTGGGAATTTCATCATCGGCTCAATCCCAATCGCTGGCGTCGGACGGCATAGTGCATCACTGCAATGTACTATTCTTCGACTCATGAAAGGATGGAATGGTTCAGATTAAAAGAGTCAGCTGAGTGAAAACCTCAGGTGCAAAGAGTCGACCACGAAAATTTATTCAGTAAAACGAGCTTCACACACAGGGAAATACCACTTACACAGCTAGGCCTTCATCACCGGCACGATAAAAAAAAAAGAGAGAAAAATAAGACAGAAATGACGTTTTTGAACGGTTTCACAAAGCAATAGGAGGTATTTTCTAGTGTTGAGGAAATAACGTCAACAAGGAAAAAACAAAAAACCCACGAATTTGAATATTGCAGCTAGCCATCACTTGACTTCACCGATATTTTTTCGTTTCCTTCCTCACGCATAAGCCCAATTCCATCAAAAGGGGTAACTTTTGAGTTACACCAACTTATTCTTTCCAGACCAAGCACCTCAAAAGAAAGCAACAATAAAATTGTAACCAGGAGAATATTCTCTTCGACCCGATGTCGTAAGAAAATCAAGAGAACCGAGATCAGGGGGAACCTATGCACCGCAAGTCTTGAGCAAATTTCTCCCCTGTCCACTCTTTATACACACACGGCATTTTTTTTCTTCCTTCTCACGACGTCTTCAAATGGGAATAAGAATACGTGTTCCCCGGCAAAACATCAAGAACGATGACATTGACACACACGCAAATTAGACCATGAGACAGGGGTAGCCATGTCGGAAGTATGGCTAAGCCGTTTCCCCGCCCAAGCAAAATGTCATTGGGAGAGGAAAAACATGTATCACACCAATCACATTCAAAAAAAAATTACCTCTTCACGAAGAAAAGGCTTCCGCGTATCCCATGAACCGAACCATATGTTGTTGAGATCAGAGATTTCCCTGATTCTTATCCCTTCTTCGACGCACCAAGAATATCCCGGATAGTAGCAAAAAAAGCAAAACAGCAAAAAAATGTTTCAACTTACTGCAAAATAACAAATGCTTTTCAAAAGCATGCACGATATTTTCTCGAAACTGCGAAAGGATAACACGCAAGAAGAAGAGTTTCTGGCCATGAAGGAACGAATGAAATACGAGACTGAAGTGTTTCACGGTTAAAAGTTTGAAATGTCGCGAATGAATTTCAGCTTGATGAGCAATGCAAAATCACGATTGATCCAAAATTCAGTCATCACGAGCAGCAACATCAACCCGGGGAATCAATCACCTTCATCCCAGAATAGGAAATGGTGGGGGTTGGGAGGTAGTGGAAAAAGAAGCTCGAGCGAGGCAGAGAAAAATACGTCAATGCCCCACATACAGGTATGCTTTTGATCAACATAAATCGAAAGATGAATTCCTTCCTCTTTTCACCAATATACCAGTTAACTTTTTTATTTTATTTTTTTGTGGAACCCGCTCTTGTACTCTGCACCCATTAATTTCCTGATGAAGCTGGTTCTTCAAACCACATTCCATTCCACCCACAACAGTCAAGAAAGTTGCACCAATCAGTAACTCTTGGCATGTCACGAGGATCCTGAACCGGCGAGAGCGTCGTTCGAACAAGGCTGACACCATCACGCGGCACGATCTTCATCAACACTGCTCCGTCCCGTCCCAATCATGGAATTTTCACGATTCCAAAACGAGAAACAATACAAACAAACCAAAATCCCCACATTCAGAGCGCGGTTGAAGCGATTCGGCCAATGTCTGCGCAAGTCGGTTGATGCACACTCGCGGTCACCCGGTCCAGAATCCATCATCACAATCCAGTCTTCTCAGCAGCAGTGCACAGCAGAGAAGCGATAAAAACCGAAACAAAACGAACACTACAATCCGTCACGTCAAATATAAACCTCCACATGCAAGTGCAATCTCTTTTTCGCAAACACATTGAGCCACACAACCCTTCCCCCGGCAACCAGCCCTCAGTTCCCTCTTTGAGCACAACATCACATCGATCTTGAAAATGGAAAACAAAACCAAAAGCATTCTCGCTCCCCATAAACGATCCAACACCAACTTGGGTGTCGGACTCGCAAAGGGTTTCCTCCTTCAAAAAAAAAAAAAATTCAGATTTGAGGCCATCACGAGCAATTTCAGGTCTTGCTTCTGGTCCGCACGGGGAGAGAAATCTCTTCTCAATACGGCATACGTACACTGACACACAAATTCGCATCTGTAAACAAAAGTTGAATGCATGAATAACGCGGAATAGATAGCGCTACATTTAGTACAGAACTTCGACAGATATTCGAAAAGGAACTCACCCTTGAAAATACGAACAAAACGACAAAAAAACGAACGGCTTCAATTCAGATCAGGATTCGCACATGCGGAGTCTGCGTTGAGATCCTGCCGTTGACCTGCAGAACTTCTCGTACTTGTTTCACGGCTACTCGTGCTGCTACTACTGCTCGTGCCGTTGCTGCAGCTGGTCGAGGCTTGCATCAGCTGCTTCTGTAACTGGCCCAGTATGTGAGGATCGATGTGCTCGCGCACCACGTTCAGCACTGCATCATCCGCACTGGACGACGCCAAGCGCTCGACCAGGTCCCGGAACTTTTCTATCTCCGACGAAGTCACCTGCAGATTGCTCATACTACGATTCTCCTGAGGAAACCGGGGGGGAAAACCGAAGACACCACTATATAATGATTGGGACTACGGTATTTACTCCCAACCCACTTTCAAAAGTTCCTTTACATACAACAAAGACAAAAAAGTTTCTCTCGACACGCAACCAACACGTGGATTTTTTTTTTCTCTTCTTCAAAGCAGACATGCCAATTGTACGGTTCCGTATCATGGCCTATTGTTGAAATACGTAAAACGCCTTGACCTGGTTTCACAGCCCCTGAGAATGGGGGCAGGTGAAGAAGATCGTCTCTCGACACAATTTGCACAAAACCTCTCCGCGAGGTAAGCAAGCAGTTCTCTTAATTTTCAGTACAGTCCTCTATACCCGTCAGCAGTGCTGTACATTAAAATTACAGTCCACTGCAGTACCGTATACTCACAGAAGGTGGTTGCGGGGGCTGGAAATCAGACTGGAATCCCGTGGCTCCCTGCGCACTCTCCGGCGACTCGGCGGGCTTGTAAACACTCGGCACACAGCCGGCCTCGGCCACAGCCACCGGCGGCGTGGCGGCCGAACTAGCCGTCACTAGCTCCGCAGACGCCCCTCCGTGCTGCTGCTGCTGTTGTTGCGCGGACAGAATCATGGGCCCAATCTCTTGCACCATCCCGTACCCGCCGCCATGCGTCGCACCTACACGCATGAAGAATTCCTCGCCGCACAGGTGAGAAGCGCTGGGCGTCGTCGGGTACCCGTCCCAATGCGTCACCGTCTGCATTGGTTGCATTTGGTAGTAATGGTGGGGGTGATGCTGTTGTTGCGGGACATGGTGTTGATGGTTGTGAGTCCCATACACGTTGCCCGGAGCACCATGGCCAGTGTTATCGGCGTAGCTCGAAAATGCCGACGGCCTCCCACCTGCACGCGCCGTTGTCAGCACGTGCAACTGGGGACCAACTCCTCCGCCGCCACCGTCACTGCTTCCTTCAGGGGCATTCTCTCGACCACTCCTGCACACAGGCGACGGAAAAAAGACAAAATTGAATACACGTTGTAGCATTCCTTTACAGACAAAAAATCAACAAATAAATAAACAGATATAAATTTGTTGGCGTACTCACCCATACGAAGAGCGATGGTTCATGTCGGATGAATCACTCAGGCCTCCCAGGTGGTTTCTCTTGAGGGAAGCGTTGTCTTCATTGTCGTCCTCTTCATCGTCGTCGTCACTAATGCCGTCATCGTTGTGGTCGTTGTTGTTAGAGTCACCACCGGGATAGTCGGGTCGGTGCGGCTGGAAGTCTTGATGGTTGTGCTTCAAGTAACTGGTTATGCTGTCTCCCGACTCGCCCATAAGGTAGTTCTTCAACGACGACGACAGTCCAGTTGCATTCACGTCGCTGCCCGAGGAAGAGCAACAGCTGGTGCCAGCAGATGGAGTTGTGGACAGTGGATGTGATGATGATGATGGTGGTGGTGGTGGTGGAGGAGGAGGTGGTGGTGGAACAGAGACAGATGATTGACCATGACCACCACCGCCACCACCACTGCCATTGTTGAATGGATCCAGACACAGACTGGCCAGCGACTTTTGAATCTCCATAATCTCCTCTTGCTTGAGCAGGATGTGGCCCTCGTTGCGGTTGTCGTTGAGCGATTGGAGGTCAACGAGCTTCATGAGTAGCTTGGGATACGTGAGCCGGGCATTGCGTGGCCCGTAGCGCCAGTTCATGTACTTGCGCGACAAGTGGAGATAGTTCTCCTGCAACTGGGCCACCTTCTCGGGCGACGACAGGCCCTTGCGGTCTGGACAGATGAGCACGATGGCCGACAAGAGCATGACCGTCGACTCGTCCGGCTTCAGCTCTTGCACACCCTTGATGAAGTCCATGTGGAGCTGGAAAAGCGTGGGCGACACCAGCGGGCGCATGTGCTCCACACGCAGCGTGGGACAGTTGCGATACATGCTCAGCGACGTGTTGGGCCATCGACCTTGTTGGGCGTCAAACACCATGGCGCCGCGCAGGAGACACATCTCAAGAATGCCGCCGCGCAGCAGAATGCCCTGGTCGGGGATCGGGATCTCGCAGAACCCGGGCAGCTTGCGAGCGTACAGGAACATGCGCTTCACGATGGTCGAGAACATGCTGATGATGCGGCAGTTGTTGGTCGTGCTCGAGTTTGACGGCGTCGACAAGTCCTCTGCAATTGTCAACAACAAAATAAATAAATAAATGAATAAATACATAAATGAATATGGACCGGAAAGAAAACAATAGAGACATTGAAAAAATGAAGAAAACCCGAACGATAGATACAATTCGGACATTTCACCTGTCTTTCGTGTATTTGTTCAATTTATTCTGGAAACATGACTTGGTCAGACGTCAAACAAAACAAAAAAGAGGCACATTTTTCATTAATTTTACGGGTACAATACTGAAATGCGAGAAAAAGTTCGAAAGTTTTGTCAGTTCCTTTGACATTCGCGTACCAGAGTTTCTAATCTAGACGCTTTCAAAATTGTTGAATGCAAGACTTGGAAGAAAGTCTGTGATAATTTTCATGGTCTTTAAACATCGCAGCGTTGTGTTTCTTTGCCCATTAGTAGGCATTTCAAGGCAACCTTCACAAATCAAAAACACTAAAAATTATCACAGACGTTTCTTACTTGAACCGACGTTCCGTACCTGCGAATTGTCATTCAAAAAATGCTGCAATTTTTTCATTTTTTTTCCTCAGTACATGGACTTCATCATTCCTGCCTTATTACAATTGAACCTAGTCGAGCAACAATTGAAAACAACACCCAATAATGATTGAAAAAGTCATTAATTTCTCAAACCATTCAACAAAATTCAAAACGAAGGATTTGAAATTTATTTCTACTCAGTTCGTAAGCAAGGCTATCCATTAGTATCTTCCAACAGTGAAATGAATAAATTCGTCAACACCTTAAATCAAAGAAATCATTTCGAAGTACTGCACAGAATTGGCGCAGAAATTATTCAATTAGTTTCACCGCCTGAAAAAAAAAACCGGGTTTGTGGAAAAATAGTGCGGATTCAGTGAACATACAGTGTTTGCCATCATTCGACGGCCACATTGAAAAGAAAAGGAATACGGTAATAAATATTACCGTATTTATACAGAGCGCCAGGCGCACCTTTTTTTTCAAAATTCAGACGAAAAAGTAGCGGTGCGTCGCAGGTGGATGTACATTTTTCGAAGAGTTCTATAGGTTCAAGTGCCCATTAGACTTGATGTTAATGGAACATTTTGGACCAACTTCGACAGAAAAGCTTAATGAAGAATAAAAAATTTGAAAATCAGTTGAATTCAGGTTCAATTCATGTCTAAATTCAATTGGGGGTGTTCTCATCATTCAAGTATTGCAATTCTAGTGGAATTAAAAACGGGGTTCGCGTCTCGATCAGGGATACGATTTCATAAAAACAATTTTGATTGGAGAACCTTGGGTGCGCGTGGTACAGTACTCGAGTGAATACGATAAATGATCACAATGAATCGACACACGAGCGGCTATCTTAGAAATTACAGTAATTTTCAAGTCTATACTTTATCATCATGAAGTTCACTAATCAAGTAATGTTGTACTGTACCCAGAAAAAGAATGGGCTTTTCATTTTTATCAATAAAATGATGCTCCACCCTCACCACACCACCGGCACCCCTTCAATCATCAGGAGAGTAAAAGAAAAAAGAAACACACAGAAATTGAATAAAAAATAAATACCGTACTATACTTAATATTATTTATTCATTCATTCATTCATTCATTCATTCATTCATTCAATCTGTCTTTCCTTGCTTTGTTCATCACTCACCCACAGAATAGGGCATCTCCTCGTAGGACTCGCGGTAGGCGTTGACGAGCAACTCAATGTCCCGCTGCTCTTCCGTCGACATAAAGTGGTCCTTGTCCCGCTCGTCGGGCTCGTGGGCATCCAGGCAATAGTGGGACCCGGCCCCACCGGGTTCAGAGTCGCCCACGTCGCACGTCTTGCGCTTCTGTCGCTTCTTGTCCAGTCGCGACTTGAGCAGACGCTCCCGCTCTTCGCCCGTCATGACCCAGGACTTCTCCATCCCGATGCTCAGACACTTGCCGAACCGGCAAAACTGACACGTCTTACGCGACGACATGCGGATCTCGCACCGCTGCTCAAAGGTGCAGAAGAAGCTGCGGTAGGCGTCGTTCTGCACCGACCGGCGAAAGAAGGCCTTGCAGCTGTCGCAGGACAGGCCGCCGAAGTGGAAGCTCTTGGCCTGGTCCCCGCAGACGCCGCAAACCTTGGCGCCCTTGTCCTTGCCACGGGTGCCGGGAAACTCGACAAGCATGTCGCTGTTGCTGCCGCTGCCCCCTTGCGACAGTTGCTCATCATGCTCTTCGTCATCTCGTCGTTGCTGCTGCTGCTGCTGCTGCTGGTGATGATGATTATTACGATGGCTTTGATGGTGGTGTTGTAGTTCCTGCTGTTGTCGGTCCTCAAGGAATCGTCTGGCATTGTGGTGACCCAAGTCCATGCCAGCATTGTTGGTGACCATAGGCGGGCCAGCCAGCGATCCGTACGGGGCCCGGTGATAGAACCCTGCAGCAGCAGCAGCATTACCAGCCAAAACCCCACTGGCGACTGGTGCTGCCGCTGCTCCGAATACCCCTCCTCCTCCTCCACCTAGTCGAGACGAGCCACTTGCTTCAGTTCCAGCTACCTGGAACGCCATCGAACTTTGCAGTCCTGTCATGAGAAGAAGAAAAAAAGGGGCGAGCCCAGACAGCAATATTAGATTTAACGCTGCCGTTGATCCCGGACACGTTGATGATCTCATTACCCCTTAAATCGCCGTAAAAGCCGGCAGCCGCTGTGAACTGCGGGTCATGATGGAAAGCCATCACGGCTTTCAAGTCTGTCTGTAAGTCTCTCTCTCTCTCACACACACATAAACACTTGCACTCTACAACTAGTACGAGTCCTCGACCCCAACACAAGTCAGCCTATAAAACGAGTCTGAGGCAAAGACTTGAAACATAAAAAAAACCCAATAGCGGGAAATTCCTGGACAGCAACCGCGTTGAAAAGAAAATTAATTACTTCTGTTCTGTACACAACGAGAAGAGGGGAGGGAAAACAAGATGAAGTGAAAAAAAAATTGTTTAAAGGCCCGAAACACACACACACACATATATATATTATACAGATACACAACCGTGGATTCCCACAACATTCCACTACGACTCGATTCGTCACGCTGACTAGGCCATTTTTATTTCATTATCACCGGGTAAATCGTGGAGGACGAATGCTGTCACGTTCGCAGCAGAAAAATTGGCCGACAGAATTCGACGCTACGCACTGTCGAAACAAGTAGAAGCCCAAGAGCAAGAAAAGATGAGCTCGCTTGGAACTATAAGGAGCGCAGGCAAGTGAAACCGGTTTCATGGGAGACATCATTCAATCACAAGGACACGCGTATTGGGCTTCTCTATCCACAGGTAAGCGAGAGCTTGAGGAATACATTTTTGAAAAAAAAAAAAAAGACAAAAAAGAACCACACGCCGGCACAACACGGCACAGTATCACATCACGCACCGGGAAACAACCATCACCGCCGGGTTATCAGGGTCAGCGAGTCCGGAGGTGGTGGTGGTGGTGGCCAACTCATTTGGGATTCAATGTCAACGCATGGGGGCACCAAGTACAGTACAGTTCTGTACATCACTTGCCGTCACCGAAGAGCCAAGCACATCCCCAAAACTTGATGTTGCATACAAGGAATACATATCACCTCTTAATGCTGGATGGAACCTGTCCACTTGGAGGTCGACTCAAGATCTGGCGAATGTGTGCTTGACACATTTTCTACACCAAAAAAATTCGCCACACAAACAGAACATTCCTCTCAGAACCACTGATCAAAGGAATACTGTATTTGGTCGGGGAAACAAGTTTTGTAGCTTAACCAATAGAAAGGCAAGAAGCCAAAAATGATTATAATCTGCTAGATTAAATATCACTGGGCAAAACCATTTGCATGTTCTTGCATGTGGGAAATTCCCGAGAGTGAAGGGATCCCAAGAGATCTCCTCTATTATGTACAAATTATTCAGAACAAAATTGAGGATACTGCAGCATTAAATTAAGGACTAGTCCCTCTCTTTGTTCTTGTGAATGATTAAAGTAAGCCCTGTACTACTTTAAAGTGGTTCAGACCCTGCTTTGATCAGTCTGGCACAGCTGTCCAAGAGGGCAGACTCCTCTGTAAAGAGGCACATGCTATGAAGTATGTCATAGGGTGCCCTGAATGGAAGGAACCCAAAAATTGTCACTGGAGGCAGCCCCAGGCAAAATATCACAAAGAATTACCACTGATAGTGGTACCTAGTTTATGCACAGATATGTACATGAAATAGTGTAAAAAAAAAAGAAGCAAGATTATTGAAATGGATTTTAGGTTGAACTGCTAAATTGATATGTTTAAGCAAACTCATTTTTAAATAGCAAACCTAAACGTGGAAAATGTTAATCCATGTATGATTTGTAAAATAGAAAGTTTGTTGTTTCTTATGGCAAGAAGCCTGAAGGCAAGAAGATGGTACATCAGTTATTTGTCACATTTACAAAGGTTAGTGGCATATTTCAAACTGCAAATAACCAATGCAATTTTACTTTGTATGCAGTAAAATTGGGCATGGTCTGTTTTGATGTATGTTTAATCATTGCCTCTAGAAGAGTGCCAATTGGAATTTAATTTTGAGCTTGCGCAAATTAATTATGGTTCACAAATTCATTGGAAGCCAATTTGTTTCATGAGACCATAGCTCATCCTCAGGGAAATCCTTGGGGGAGATTTGGCATGCAACCTTGCCGAGAAATTTCCTGGGTATCTCTTGCAACCCTTGATAACTTGATTGATAGGATTTGCACCTGCATGAAGTTTCTGACAGTCTATGAACATTTGGGTAGACAATCAATTGGGATGCTCAAAAGTGGAGATTCATCCTTCAACATCCTCCTGGACCCAACCAGTCAATCCTCACAGTGGCAGAATTTCTCAATCGCAATTCTTTAAAATAAAATCAAGAGAGAAAAGTGAGTAGATGACTTTTGATTGTCTACATTTTGAAACATGATTAGCGCTTTCATTCATTTATAATGCCCCATCAGTAACGTACATCAATAAAGTAGCAATAAAGTAAATTATTCTGGCATCCTTAGCAATAAATATATTCCAACAAATAGTCAATATCGGCAAAATTGAAAAATTACCTCGCAATAGTAAAAAATGCAAGTCCTCAAATTAAAATTATCACCTGAAACCATAAAAAACCAGACAAACAGCCACTTTGACTAGAACAGGATTTAATTACCAGAAAATGTACAAGTAAATAAGGGCACCTACTAATTATGTTGTCATAATGTTAACTTAATTTGCACATACAGTCGGTGAAGTTCTTGTCTTCTATATTTCTAATTCCAAGAGTGAAACCGGGGAATGATTGTTAGAAATATTCAATAGCTGAATGCTTGCAAGTTATTCAATTTCAGCAAAGCTAAAAACATTATCATCACAGTTTCCAGAACAACCATTGTGAAAAATAGAATGCATGTTTTCTCCACTTTATTTTCAGACACACATGCAAACCATACCAATGGAATATAGCACCACAAAATTAAGGTTCAAAGTGTACTTTTTACGTATTCTCATGCAGCAACTTGAAATATTTCAAATTCGGTTATGATTTTTCCAGCATATGTTCTTTAAATTTTAAAACCAGAAGAAAAAAATTTGTATTTGGAGGAGGGGGGGGGGGGGGGGGCGAAATTCTTATTTTCACACGGGCGCTCAACACCCTTACGGGGGCCCTGTACGAAATTACAGGTGGGGGTCATGAGGTTCGAATCGCCAACCATAGATCCCCTCCCAAGTACAGTACATACAGACAAACGAAGACGCATACGAGGACAGCAGATGAGAAAAACACCCTTCCAGCAGTCGTCCTCGTCATCGGCCCTCGATGTCAAGAAGCACACTAAAGCAATCACACATTCTTTCTTCTTTGACGACAAGAACACGGGCGACAATGGGGCACATTCAGGAAAAAGTAAGTCGCCTTTCTTGTTCCTTCGCTCTCCGAAACCGATCAACACGCTCAAGACACAGAGACACAACCACCACCTGAAACACCCCCACCGTCGTAGGACGTGGATAACACTGCGTAGCTCTGTATGAAACATTCTGAACGTGTCTGCGCGCGTGTGTGTGTACCTGCGTACACCTGGTTTTCAAGTGCAGACAGCGCCGAAATGTCACTTTCCACTTTACAACAAAAACGTAACTCAACAGATCGAAGACTTGGACGATCTCGCGCGTACCCACCACCACTGACAAACACAGCACATACTGCACCGTAAGCTACAGTAAAGCGAGCATAAAAAAGCAGCAGCAGCAAAATGCACCCTTTTTTTCCCCCCTGCAGTCATTCCCGTTGGACAGACGGTCGGTGGGTCTAGCAGCAGCAGCAGCGCAGGACACACTGACTGACACCCTTCCTTCCACAGCGAGGTGAAGTGAAGCAAACAGGAGAGACCTCAGGTGGGGCCACCCGGCAAAACCACACTCCCCGCTCCGTCTCCAAGTCCCCCTTATCCCAATACTGTACTCAACGCACTCGCTCTTTCTCCGTGCCTGCCTGCCTGCCTGTTCCTCTCTTTCTCCGCCAGCACAGCGCTGCTTCAGACGGGGGACAACCACCAGCAGTCAGCAAACCAGGCAGGCGAACATCTACCCACCTACAAACCTCTACCCAACCAAATCCGTCACCAGCAGCTACCATCCACCCATCAGGAAGGTGACACACAAGAGGAACGTGTGTCTCTCTCACTCTCTCTTTCTTTCGCGACACTGATCAATGCATCGCCTCTCCCTTCACTTATTCAAATCTCCCGAGGCCCACAAAACTCCACTCTACACAATCTTCTCTCTCATTCTCAAACGCACCTTATTCCCCCCTCCTTATTCCTCACCCTCTCCCCATACGCATTTCGAAGGGACATCCAGCCATGGACCAGCTCAGCTTGGATCATTAAAATGTCCCGACTCGGAATTGAACAAAATCCATTTAACCAAACAAAAACCAAAATTTATATACCCCCCCCCCCATTTCCCAGGTCCACTAAAGCATTTTTCTCTCGACCGTGCAAGAATCCGTCTCGCCAACAGCATTTCACAGAGTGATTGAACCTTATAACTGCAACATTAGCTTCTCTTCAGCACACATCTTTGCAACGCTGAAGAGGAAGAGAAAGAGGTGGTGGGGGTGGGGGGACAAAAAAAAGACAGAACGAGAAGAGGTGAGTGTAACCGTGAGCAAGCGCAACGGAATCTCCAACGGTGGAACAAAATCACTGTACTGTACTGTACTTCTCTACAAAACTAATGGAGTCAAACACTAGCAGAATGAAGACAGACGGGTTGTCTGAGAGCTACATATATCCTGCTCGTGTGGACGTCACCACGAGTTGACGGCACACAGAGACTGACTGACTCTATCCAACCATCGGGAAGATCAATGGCATCCTTATTAAAACGCTTTTCATGCATGACGTACAGTATGCAGTACAGTACAAGTTGTACAACACACCGAGGAGCTGGCAAGAGGACTGACGCGCGTGGTGATGATGAGGAACACAAGACCAGAACCAACTGGCTGAACCAGTGGTCGATGACCGGCTTCAACAGTTCGAGGGGGGGGGGGGGGGTTCAAAGTATTGTAAATTAGAGAATAAGACGCTGGCAACACTTGTTTCATGATCAACGGGCGGAACAGCAAGGAGGCCAGAGCCAAGGAGTGAGGGCATCAGCCGTGGAACGAAACGACGCCTGCCTGAATCAAACAGGTCCGGGGTGATAAACTCCAGATAAACGAGCCGGAGGACGAACAGTACAGTTGTTTCTTCTTTCTTTTTTTCTCTCTGCTTCTTGCCTTCTTCGAATGCATCTGTGTGTGTGTCTATCAATCTGTCTCCCATCCCCCCTACCTCCAGTCAAGAATCCAGTTCCCAAAACGAAAAATTGAGCACCAGGGCTTTCCAAAAGTTTTCTCGAATCACCAGTCGCACAAAAATCATCAAACTTGAAACTTTCTCCATATGTACTGTATGAGTGTATGTCAACTTGATAACGGGGAACGAACAAAGAAAAAAGAATCCGAAGATTACACCAGATTCACGCGCCAAAATACTTCTTGCAGAAATTGGCAATCAAATTTGCTTTCGTCGGAGGTTTGTGTCAGTTGCAACTTGCAAAAAAGCTGCAGATTCCACCCCGGCGGCTTGCAACAATTTTTGGGCATCAATAATTTTCGTAACGAGCCTGACCAGAATACTGCAACGAAATGTTTCGACAAAAATGTTCGAAACCGTGAATAGAGCTCTTGAAGAAGACAACGAGAACCCTCCTTTGGGACAAAGTCTCGGGATAAATACCAGCCATTTCGCTCGGATTTTCCGTCGATGCTTCCAATGATTGAACATTACATGTGCCCCAATAAGGACGTTTCCATTGGAATCCACAGTCATTTGTCGGTGAAGTGGTACACTTCACAAACTCAAAGGCAAAATAAATCGATACCCACGTTTCATCAGCGAGCAATTCAAGCGTTGTTGACTCGCAGGATTTTCGAAAAACCCCTCGAACACATTTTAGTTCCCCAGGTTCATATCCACCGGATGTTCTACCTTCATCAGTCAACTCACTGAAGGGACAAGAAGAAAAGGACAATGATCCACAACCTGTGGGAAAATTTGAAGAAAACGAAAAACCGCAAGATCAACAACTTCCGCTGGAAAACCAGGCAATACGCCAGGAATTCACGTCAAGCCATTAGCTCGAACCGTGATCCCGGAAAAGCTAATTAATCAAGTGAAGTTGAATTGACGCAGGAAGTAATGAATGCGATGCAGGTGGGTACTGTACAATAGACGAATTTCATGTCATCGATTCATTCTTTTCCATGCACTGTGACGGGGCAAGAGACAAATGAAAAAGGGATTACAATTCAGTCTCGTCTTCGCTACTACAGTACTGTATCAGGACAACTTCGTTCTCAGTACTGTACGGTACGTTTACTCCTTTGCAAAAGACAACGTTTCCTTTGCGCCTTTTCCCCGCCCGCGGAATACGGCATTCTAATAATTGTACAGTACTGCACTGCACAGCACTGTACTCCTGCACTTGTCTCGGGGTTTCTCCTCCCTCTTCTTGAAACGATTGATGCGCAGAATCCATTGTCCCGTCTCACGTGAAGACGAAGGCAAATTATATAACGTTAGCTCCTAGGCAGGTTCGCGTATTCTCGGCTGGAATTCCCCATCTACAGTACAGTACTGTATTTCGCCAGAGATCGTTTTTTCTAGCTTTCTCGTTCGTGATACTAAAGCCACGATAACAACGGGGGTACACACACACACACACACACTTCAGGCACAAGTCTGATAGTCCCCAAGGAGTCAAATTGTTTATACTTTTCTCACATTCATACTTCAACAATCGTTGATTATTTATGCAGCATCACTGACACAGATATAGCAGAGATCTAAATCATGCTACAGTACAGTATTTACAAGAACATGATTCACCCCGTAACATTACAACCAGACAAAAGGACTTCCAGGAGTTGAATTTTGTACATAATTTACTGAACTTCAGAATAAATTCTCATACAATATCTACAACTAGTGTACGGTACAAGAACTGGAGAATCGTACGGTCGAACTACGTACCGACAGGACCAGACACATTTGAAAATACAGTACCGTATTTAGAAACAACCTTTCGGACAAGGTAAAACGTTGAAAACTAATAACACGCTTCAACGGAAGCTCAATTAAAAATATTTTTTTAAGAATCTAATTTTTTCCTTTTTTTATCCATCACACAATTATAGCCAGTAAAAAAGCTTGCTCCTAGGGAGGTATTGACAGGGACAAAGTTACAATTTTGATGAAAGCACAGTATTTTAATATGATTTTTGAGCAGGATAATCTGGGCTCAATAAGACTGTAACCTTACGAGCTTCGGAAAAGAATCACGAAATTAATCAATTTTTTGTCGGACAATATGGACGCCATCGAAAATAACACGAAGAAAAACTGAAATAGCCGGGAAATCACGCAGATACATTAAACTTTATTTCATTTCATTTTATTTCTAGCAACTTATCTAATAAAGAAAGGAACGTACGGTAATTTAGTGTAGAGATCAACCGTTGTTACGGTATTTCAGTCCTTTCAATGGTCACATTAATCATGATGCGCAACTTGAACGCAGTACAGTACTGGACGCTAGTTAGGATTTGATAAAATGTTGAAGCTCGTGAAGTCGAGAATAGATTAAAGTTTCGTTTTCATTTTATTGACACTTCGTTTCAAATGAAAATGTCTCACAACTTCAACTGTACAGTGCTTGGGCAAGTCATTTCCCACGCGGGTTCCCTCTCAAAACAATTATCGTACAGCGAACATCAACCGGTTCATTCTGTACAGCATGTAAACCAAGTGTTCACACTCGGAAACCGCGTAGTACTCCACCTGTTCAGAATGCGTCACGACAAACGTGGATCGGAGTAAACTCGAGCGATTGTCCCGATGAAGCCGAACACAAATTCGCACCACCTCCCCCCATTCGAATATCTAAGCGCCGTTATTCCGCACTGTACAGTACAGTAAAGTACAGTACAGACACTCCACCGCATGTCTGTATCCCTGCAGTCACGCATATTTCGACACCATTTCCACCACACACGCGATCCGCGTTTCGCAATCCAACACACGCACAGACATATACAGTATACAGTACATGGACACAAACACACGCACGCACATTGCCAGACAGAGACAGAGAGTAGGACGGGATACCTCCCGACGACCTGATTTGAAGCTACCACGACAACCACTGCCACGAGCCACCACAGTACAATACTGTACTTCACTATACTGTACTGCGCGTTTCAACGCCAAAGAAGCCTAACCGCCCAATCCACGCAACACGTGAAATGGACACAGCACTACGAACAGTACCGTGATCCTCATGATCAACCTCAACAACACATGCAGTTTGCACACTGCGCAGGCAAGCACGACAAGGGCACCGCACCAGTTCACATGGCTCATGATGGTCACTCACCGTGGTGCTCGTCATGGCAGCCACCACCAACTCCTCCCTGTTTCCCGTCTCCTCTACGCATCAGCAGCTGCATGTCTCCGCCACCATCCCCTCCTCGTCCTCCTCCTTCTTCTTGTCGTCGGTGTCGCCGTAGACCCATCAGTTGATGCTGTCGCCGTTGTGCCATTGCCACGACCGACTCAGACTCCTCCTCCTCTTCGTCGTCTTCCGCTCCCACGCTCCTCCCTTCCTCCCTCCCGCCCGGCATTTCATCCGCATCCGAGCCGATGCGATGATGAAGGCGACGTCGGTGTAGACTATGCACTTGTTGCTGCCGCTGATCATCGCCGTCTTTGTGAACAGCACTCAGCCACGCTCCTCGACCAGCCATCCGAAAGGCGAGCACCACCAGCAGCGAAGCGAATCACGACTCACTGGATTAGAGAAAACCCCTCTGAGGACGACACAAATCGACTCACAGACGACGAAAGGGAAGGATTGGACGGACCGGACGCAGAGCGATAACAGCGCGAGCGAGTCAATTACTGTACTTTGCTCCTTCCTTCTCTGGAAACCTCTCGAAAAAAAACACGAGAAAGAGTAGCTACAATCGTCAATTTGTCATGACACGGCAGCAAAACGTCGATATACAGGGTAGAATTCTGCTCCACAGGTGATCGCGGGGCCGCGTGACTGGCACAACGACAACGACGCTGAGTCGCACGGCAGCGTCTCGCAACAGCCGAAGGGCGTGAAAGAAAGAGAGGATCCGGGGATTTTGTTGAGAAAATAAAAAAAGGAAAGAGAGATACTGTAGTACAGTTAAACCATTTCCTCTCGTTTCTGTCGTCCCCCTTCTTAAGGCGCAGATAAACGCAAGGCCTGTCCTTCTCTCTCCCTGTGCCTGCCTGGTACACGTACCCAGCGACTCCTTCACTATCTCGCGGCATTCGCTCGCTCGCCTCACTCAGTTGCTTGCTTCTGTTTCTGCTCCCTCCCTTCAATCCCCTCCTTCTCCCCTGAGGCTCTCATTAGCCTCCACAAGCTCGACTGGTGGCACAAATCATAGCCACCTAACTCAGCGACACGGGATCTGGAAGCCCACTGACAAATGGAACAACCGCAGGTTAATTGTCTTCATAAAAACACAAGTTTGCAACAGATTCAGAACTATCGTGGGAAACTTTGATTCACTTATACTGTGTTCAGAAGAAGAGGTTGTCGTACTCCGCAGTAAAATACCTTCGATCCCCACCTCCCTTTCCCCGTTGCGGTGTACAGTACAGTATTGGAAAATTCAGGTTCCCGCATCAACTCGACATTTTCAAGGAAATTTAGGAGCTCCCCCCCCCCAACACACAACAACACAATACATACTGTACAATGCAAAATGTTTATGCCAGTTGTGCAATTTCAACCTTTTTTCTATGAAGGACATTTCAAATTTACCAGATCAATCAAAAAGATCAGCGAAGAGATAAAATTAAGTCTGACAAAATTGCAACTTTTAGGTTCCGAAAATGCGAAGTTTACCTTGACATGAGGAAGGTAGATGTACTGACAGTGATGCCTTGAATCATAATCCGTGCTAGTGGCCTCTTCATTGCTCAAATACTAAGTGTACAACAAATCCTTTCTAGTGGTAGTTATGGGAAATACTGTACTTTAATGTGTTTCAGTTAAAAATGTAATAAGAGGTAGCATATTTCTTAAAATTAGGAAAACAAATTCTGAAACAGACAGTAAATGAAATAAAGCCATAGTGAATCATGACTTTTACATAAATGATCGGCATCAGAAAAATTAGGAGCAAAAAAAAAATTAAATTTGCATACTCGGTTGGGAATATTACATAACGTCAAAACTTGAAAATGTTCGCAACTTTTTACAGAAATCAACTTTCTTGGAGTTTTTCCCCCTATTGACGAGGAATTGTAATCCATTCTACACAGTGATCTGACGGTCGTTTAACCCATGCCGTAGAGCTGAGCTGCGTGACGCCAAGTTCAGCACGCACCCCAGGCTCGAAACCTGCCAGCCATCTTTGTCTCACCTCACCCATACCGTATTTGCCCCGGGCCTGCAGCGTAGGTAAGTGAGAAAGGGATGGATGTCGACGACGACGACGGGAATCCTTCCCCGACACTCTTCCCTCAACCCTGTCCCGAATCAACAGGTCTCAAGAATTAATTGATCAGCGCCAAGGCCGATGACCGCCAACAACACCTTACACCCAACGCATCGTGTCCCTGATTGATGACGAAGGAGAGGGAAAAATGCTGCTCACTTGATCTTTTACACGCTTCGGAATAAAGAGTCGACGTGGCGTCAACAAGAAGCAGAATACCGTACACAAGAATAGCAAGCGCGTTGACTGATCACTCGCGCAGTGCCCGCCACCCCGAGATACCGAGGGTAGCTGGACCAGGAGAGTTCACCGGGTGCACGTTAGGGTGGGAATACATCACCAGGGAACGTTCCCCGTGAACCTGACGAACGCGTCCCATCCGGCACTGGAACGAAGAATCCCTCTCGTCGCACACGCGGTTCGTTCGTCAGATAGGATACAATCACCGTCTTTCCCCTTGCCCCTTACACCCCCATTTCTTCCATGATGAACGACGACGCAAATGATCGTGCTACTGACGACAATCACGGCACAGGTGAGAATGCACCAAAATCCGTGAAAAACGCCTACAGCCATGGTAAAGAATAATATTGTACCAATAAAGAAACATCCACGCTCACGCGGTGAGGTGACTTGCTCCTGTGTCACTGCTGTATCATTCTGGTGGGCTTCAATTCATGCCAACATTTTCCAACCGCCCGCCGCGAGGGGTGTAGTCCAAAAGCCCCCCCTGCCAAAAGCCCCCCTTGGTGCAAAAATTGGGGATTACAGGTCTTCTTGTAATGCTTGATGGTAAGCTGCACCTTTCACCAGCAGGCCCATCACAAGGCAAAGTACCAATATGTTTGTAAGTCGAGTATATAAAGGGATTCCTCACCTGCAGTGGTCATCAGTGATTCTTATGTCAAAGCATCATCACTAACTGACTTATGCAAAATCTACAATTCACCTTGTTGATCCAATGGCTGGTGCACTTCAGATCATCAAAAATCAGAAGTGTGGTGAAAAGGCATACTACAATGGCTATTTATTCATGATTAGCACAAAGGCCAGTACTAGGTGCTGGAAATGTGCTAATAAAGGGGATGAGATAGGAGGGGGCCACATTGAGAGGAAAATGGCATTGAGAGCATCAGTGACACTGAGGAAGAGGCTGCAGCAGAAAATCAATTTTGAAGATGATTATTCAAGTCATTTTTGAGGACTGATGAAACCAAGCAGCCCTTCTCAGGGCCACCAAACACTATTATGAAACTTACATGAAAAAAAGTGAGGGGGGGCTTTTGGCAGGGGGGGGGGGCTTTCCGGGGGGCTTTTGACCTAGGGGGGCTTTTGGTTGGGTACCCGCCGCAAGAAAAGGACAACAAAAGGGTTGCCGACACGATGAACCAGTCAAGACGACAGGATGGTGAAAAAGCTTATAGTGCAACACTGTCTGAACACTTTGGTAATCGAACCCCTTTTCCCTCAATTATAACTGCACTGCTATAGTCATTGGGAGCTCCCAATCCCATGCCGATCATATATACAGTACCTACCTTATCTGCCTCTCCACACTTTTCAGCAGCTTCTAAGGCAGAGAAAAGTGGATACTGTACCGCCAAAGTTCCCGCTTTTATTCTAAAGTACTGTAATGGGAGAAGGTCCGGATTACAGCATACGGTACACTTCAGTCAAATGATTCAGTGTTCCTTACAACTCTCATCATTCACATCAATTCAGAATGAAAAACTTTGGAAGTGGAAAAACAGAAGATTGATGTACAGTATTTCGCGGCCAAAAGAGCTACAAAAATAACACACAAGAGTGCAACACAAGCTACGTACACACGTCATTCTATCCTAATCCGGAGCTTCAAAAAGCAAATTGATCGAACTATAATTTCTGCACCACAGGATAATCTAGTCTCAAGGCACGATCCATGGATATTTGCTGCAGATATTAGGTTCAACACATCCACCTTGTAGAGCCACAAATATCCCATGGATCACTCAAGTTCAGACACTAGATCTTCCCTTTCTCCCAGTCGCCTCATTCCCGCATGATTGTTTCGGACAGTAGATGGGTTTCATGGTGGGATTCGTGCAAGTTAAAAAATTCCGCAGTCATGGAAACTCAACCCATATCGTAGCGGATGTTGAGTCAGTTCATTATAGTCAAATGCAAATTGATGCAAGTTTACATAACGACGATGAAAAACCAAATATGACACCATCAAATAATCCATGATGCCACGGGTACATCAGTATACTTTATTGTATATAGGTGTCGCATTTTCATGAATCACCCAGTGTTGTTTATTTGAAAATGAAAAAGTGTATACTGTACACAATATGGTGACACTGCCCTTGTTTCAAGTGCCAGGACTCAGACACAACTCCGCTCTAAATTAGGTGAGTGGTAGCCCAGTCCACCCATCTATCCTGTTTCTTTCACCAACCAAGCACAGGTGGACTTGGGTGTGACCTTAGGACAGTCAATCTGGGCATGAAGGTTTTCTCAAACCCAAAACCTTTCACCCTGTTAGCCCACATAGAACATGTGGTTACCAGCGGCCACCACAAGGAGGTAAGGTCTGGATTTCAAGTACCAAGTAGTGCCTTACACCACTGGATACTTGGGCTCACAGAGACATGATAGTTGTGTCTGACCACCAGGTTGCTTCAGAGAAGCTCCTTCTGTGGGAGATCGCAGCTTACCAACTTCTTGCATCTTATCAAAAAAGAAGCAATCTGAGGTTCACTTTTACTATATATACTCTGCTGGTAGTTCAGCTAGTAACCAGAGCCTGGCCACACCCCTGAAGTTAGACACAAGGGGTGAGAGTCTATGCCTCCCATCAGAGAGTCATAGTTACTCCCGCCAAGCAAAGATGAACGCAAATTGGTCATTAGAATCTATGAAGGGTATGCGCAGATCCGAGCATACCAAGAGAGGCTCAGTGCTCTCACTATGGAGATCAACTGAAATGAACAGCAGCAAGAGCAAGACTCAGAACCGGCTCAGAACAATTCAACTGTAATGGAATGGGCTGAAATACAGCTCACTATACCTGATCTGCCAACAAACCTGATTCCTCAGGGCCTTACAATCATCTGAGACCAGTAAAGCCATAGAATTGGTGAATAAGGTCATGATTCTTTGGAGCAAACAGCTCCCAGCCAATGAAGTTGGTGAAAAGTCAAAGGTTCCACCACAACCTCTTTCCAACAGGAGGAGGAAAACGGAACAATTCAGCATCAAAAGTGGCAAAAATTTACAAACTAACTTGTATTTGCTCAAACGAATGGGTTCACCATCGATTCCATTTGCGACTAAGTCACAAATTGACATCACCTTAAAATCCTCACTTCCCGCCATTTGACGATCGAACTGAAAATGGTTTCCTTCAACGGCGTGGCACACAAGATGAGGCATCGAAAAAGAACTTCGTTATTCGATTCTTATACCATTCATGAATTTGGATAAAAGAATCCCTTCATGAAAGGAATTTCACCGGATTTCTCACGACGACATTACGTTCATTTCCAGCTCACAGCCGTTCAATTCCATGCCCCACCCTTGTGGGGCTTCTCACTTTCACTCCCTGTATAATGAGTGACTTCTGATTAGCACATGTTGTTGTTTAGGAACTTCATGTTGAAATTGGTGTAACATGATTTCAATTTCAACATGAAGTTCCTAAACAACTTATTTTAAACTTAACTTTAAGTTTAAAATAAGTTGTACTTATGCGCGAGAATTCTGTCCACCTGCCCCACAAGGGTGGGGCGTGGAATTGAACGGCTTTGAGCTGGGCATTACAGTTGCTGGAACGTCCCAGCACTAAGGCGTTGCTTGAGCTGTGAGCTTCATTATTTTTATTGGAAGATTGACGTCTAGGGTGTTAATATCTTGTGATAGCTATTAGAAATTTCCCTAAACATTTATGCCCCTTCTGTGTTCATTTACCTTAACTGGCCTTAGCTCTAGTGATAACCGTGACCATGTTTTTCTCAAAAATTGCTACGAGTATCGGAGTCGGAATGGTTTCGGTGGGAATGGTTCATGGCTTTAGAATGGTATGAAGTGAGTGATCTTGTGAGAGTTGTTTTCATGTTGAACTTCATCGCAGTTGTTTGGTGGAGGAGGTAAAGTCGTGGATTGGGAAAATGCGAAGACATTTTTTGAGCTGGGAGCGCGGGATATTGACGGAAACTGGATTAATTTCGAGAGATACAGGTTGGGAATCTATATCATTGTTCCCAGCAAGCGGTCATTTACTTAATATCATGTGATAGGGGAAACGTTTGTTTGGTCGTTAACGTTGCCTCTAATTGAGGCAAGACTGCGGTGAACTATCGTCAAATGGTTACGTTGCACGAGAAGTACGCCGCTGATGGATTCAGGATTCTTGCGTTTCCATGCAATCAATTCGGTCGCCAGGTTTGTCAAGTTTTTCCGTTTCTAAAGCACATGAAAATAATAACTTCGTCTTCGGAAAGGAACCTGGCACAAATGCAGAAATCAAGCAATTCGTTTCTTCTGAATTCGGCGCAAAGTTTGATTTGTACGAAAAGATAGAGGTCAACGGGGAAAACGCGCATCCCGTTTACAAGTGGCTCAGATCTCGGGAATCGGGAGTCTTCGGCAGGCAAGGTTATTTTTATTTCAATAAAATTCGCGAGGAATCACCGCGTCTCCTTATTACGCAGTTTTCTGAAGTGGAACTTCGCGAAATTTTTGGTCGATAGGCGCGGCGAATCTAGGGGCAGATACGATACTAGTGTTGACCCTCTTGTGAGTTCAGGAATTACGGTTTCAAATCTTGAACTTGTGAGAGCCTTTTTCCGCAGGTATTGGAACCGTTCATTGTAGAACTGTTAGCAGAGAAATGAACGTAATGTCGTCGTGAGGAGAAATCCGGTGAAATTCCTTTCATGAAGGGATTCTTTTATCCAAATTTTGTTTTTGTGAAGAATCCCGGATGTGTTCCGGCATTCGCGGTTCTCTTGCGCGACATGATTCGCTGTTGTGGTACGCCTCCCGTGTATTCGTTAGAAGGAAGTTCTACACGTTTTATAAACTGGAATATGAAAACCGAACTTCGCTCTTCGCGATACATCTCTTTTTTCTTCCTGTGAAGTTGGTACTTACCATATTCTTAGCTTATTGCTTCAAGAAAAAGCTACGGAGTAGAACACACGGTGCGGCAACTTCCTTTGGTAAAAGTCAAGCTAGCAGTTTACCGCCCTTCACTCCTAAAATTCCACTACAGGATTTGTGATTTAGTCGCAAATGGAATCGATGGTGAACCCATTCGTTTGAGCAAATACAAGTAAGTTTGTAAATTTTTGTCACTTTTGATGCTGAATGGTTACGTTTTCCGGAAGAGGAAAGGTGTGTTTACTGGTGAACGTCGCCTCTAAGTGAGGCTTGGCGCGTATCAACTACACTCAACTTGTTGAGCTGCATATGAAGTATGCCAATGCGGGACTCTCTATTCTTGCGTTTCCTTGCAATCAATTCGCGAATCAAGTGAGGGCCATGTTTTATGATTTCGTTTCGTTTTCTAGACGGCATTCTGCTTTAGTTTGATGCTTTTTCATCATGTACATATAATTAAACATCATATTGTCAAGGAGCCTGGAACTGGAGCAGAAATTCGGGAATTCGTAAGGAGTTACGGAGTCCAGTTCGATCTTTTTGCCAAAGTAGACGTGAATGGATCTGGCGCTCATCCGGTTTGGAAGTGGTTGAAAGAGAAGAGAGGGGGTTTCTTTGGAAGGTTGGTTGTTGTTATTTTGTCAGCTTTGTATTGTAATGCAAAATCGAAACTGAATTGACAGTTTCATCAAGTGGAATTTCACCAAATTTGTGGTCAATCGTGAAGGGGCGCCGGTTTTGCGTTTTGGACCAAAAGAAAATCCTTTGGTATGATTATTCTTGCGGATGTGTTTCTCATCCGTAATTCTTTGCTGTCACTTCCTCTAGGATTTTGAGAAGGAAATCGTAAAACTTCTGTGATAGCTTCAGAAAGTTATACTATAGTTGGATATCCAAGGAAGAGGAGTATGACGAGCACGCTTGAAAAGTCACCTGGACTAGAGTTCTGCTCAGATGTTGCGTTTTGCGGCCCTTGCTACTTCCCTGGTATTCGTTTCTGATTGAATCTGATGAGTGGAAATGCAATGCTGTTCAGTATTATGAGGGAAATCTGTGTGCGTGCGGATGCACCGATATCATGCCAATGTAGTATTGAATATTTTACCGGCTGTGCTTATTCATTATGCGTGGCCCTGCTGCGTGGCCATCCTTATTCATGCTGGTTTCTTCGGTGTGAGACTTTTCCCCGTTGGGTTTTTCTTCGCGGAGAAAACTGATGTCCATTTCGTAGAGGAAAAAAAGCTTGTCGCGGTCTGAATTGCTAGATGCCTACCCTGAGTCTTTTTTGCAGATTCGTTCGCCGTTTCATTGCGGAATTATTTTTCTCCCCCTTTTTTTAAATGCGACTAATGAACAACACATCGAAGAACATAAAAACGTTTCGTTCGTTCGTATCCTGATCATATACTTGCGCTTTTTTTCGAGTACAGTAAGTTGAGCGATGCGTTGGCATGAATTGAGCTTGAGGTGAAGCTTGAGAACTTCCGTCATTATACGCTAGTTCTAGATTTTGGTGTTATAATTCATGAAATTTTCAGAAAATTAATCCTTATTCATTAAGCTGCGTGAATATAAAGTGACTTAGTATTGAAAGTGTTGCGCTTGGCCGGTCTGGGAACAAGCTAACTTCATGCTGATAATAAAACCGAGGTACGGCACCATGTTACCTTTCGATTTTGAACATCGCTTGCAATGTACAATATTCCGATTGACTTTATGTTGAAGGAGTCATGTTCAAAGGCAAAGGTTGGTTCGGCGGTTCCAGTCTTCGAAAGCCGAAAAATCCTCATTCTCTGGAACACCTGAAGTGAGAATCAATTCGCGAAAATTTGCCTGGATCGAAAGATGACATTCAGTGTTCACTTCCAGGTATCTTCACTCCGTTCTGTCGAAGAATCAAATTGTAACGGACGCGAATCGTTCTTTGCTGGTTGAAATCTTGCGATCAATTGCAGAAATATTGATTTGGGGAGATCAAAATGACAGCACCGTTTTTGAGTCAGTATTGAGTTTTATGTCTTGAGTGACTTGAGAACTTTAACGAAGGGGGTGACCTTTGCATTCGGTTTCAGCTTTTTCTTGGAAAGAAACATGCTGTCATTTTTTCTCAAAATCATGGACCAAAGATGTGGGAGCTACGTTTGTGTGCAGCTACTGCAGACTCTCAACATATTGTTTGAAAACATCCGAAATGAGACATCTTTGTGTAAGTAGTTTCGTGTAGAGTGAGTCGTCAACGTCGTCGGGTAACAGGGTATCTAATTTCTATTCACAGATTACCTGCTGTCGAACAACCACGTGAACTCAATCATTGTGCACAAATTCGACTTTTCCGACGAAGAGGTTATGGCTTACTACATATCCTTCCTGAAGACGCTCTCATTGAAGCTCAACAAGCATACAATTCATTTTTTCCACAATGAGGCAAGATTGAGGGCCGGTGTTCGTTTTTCATTCTTTATTTACTTTTTTTATCATTCGTAGCATACGAACGACTTTCCGCTCTACACGGAAGCAATCAAGTTTTTTAATCATTCGGAGAGTATGGTGCGGATTGCTGTTCGAACCTTGACCCTCAATGTGTACAAGGTGGATGACAAGTCCATGCTGAAATTCATCAGGGACAAAACTGCGGCCCCTTACTTTTCTAACCTCGTGTGGTTTATTGGGAATCATGTGCTGGAGCTGGATGCCTGTGTTAGGCAAGATGCTGGGTGAGTGATCCAAGCGTGATATCTACGACGACGGTATGATAGGTGTAAATCATAAGATTTATTTTTTTGTTTGGTTCGCTTTTCCGTCTTCGTTGCACCATTTCCGCATGCGTGTTTTGTCAACAATAGACCTTTTTCTGCTTGCAGGCACCAGAGCCAAGGGCGATTGTCAGACTTGGTGGCAGAACACTTGGACCACATGCATTACCTCAATGATATTCTTTGCTTGTCGATCAAGACCTTGAATGAAGTTCTCGTCGACCACTTGGTGCATCGGCTCCTCGTTCCTCTTTACGTCTTCTCGCTGACGACGAGACGACGCCTGGAACATCTGGTTCAATCGTCGACGTCGTCGTTTGATTCGGAAGAGTCGGACATCCTCGGGTTACCGAACAGACCAAGAGTGGATTCTGTTGTCAGTTTGTTCCTCCTCAGTCAGGTCTTCCTCATCATTGCACATGTGCCGCTGGCGAGAGCGCTCGCGAAGATAATTTTTCACGGCAACATGGAGATTTTCTGGACAGATTCTCGTCTGTGGAGATCCCCGCCGGTGGAACAAGTGAGTGGGCTTTTATTTTTGTCGGTCGGGCGCGAATTATCAAGTGAATGTCTTACCGATCGTGTTGCAGACGACAGCGTCGCGTTGCAGTCCCCTAGTTTTCAGTCCCCCGGCGGAAAGTTTGGAGGACTCGCTTAGAGAAGGTGGGGCGAAGTCTCCGTCGTCGTCACCTGTTCCTGACGGAGCCGTCGAACAACTGTCTGCTGAGGATGAATTCGTTACAGTTGCTCAATCTGCGGAAGCACGCTGTGGTGAGCATGGAAGAGTGTCCCGTCTTTCATTCAACTTTTACGTCTGATGAATGTGTGGAACCCCTCGTTTAGATGTTGAACATGTGATGCAAGGGATGAATATTACTGACGAAGAGAAGGAGCAGCAAATGGCGTCTCTGGAAGTAGACTCCGGAACAGCTTCCGGCGTATCTGGATTTACGCTAAGTTCGAGACCATTCCTGGAAGCGATCCTCAATGCTCTGGAAGTCACAGAGGACGATTATTCTGCATTGTTTAGCCTATGTCTAATACATTCAATGTTGGCGAATGAAGGTTGGTTAAGAGTTCTAAGGTTTTCCTTTTGCCGAAGATAACGCTGCACACATGTTTGTTGCAGGGCTCGCTGAGGCGGAATTTTTCGCCGCCTCTGACGGAGGCAGTCAGCCTAGCCCGAAGAGAAACTCTCCATTTTCGACAGCAGAATTGACTGCGGATGCGAAATTCTGGTTCTCAATTCACTTGATTGACCGGCTGGTTAAATTGCTGTGCGCCTCGAGTTTTCCAAGTTGGTTCAAATTTCATCAGATTAATATCGTATGTCTCTGAAAAAAAATTTCCTTATGTATGCTTAGATAGCAAGTTGCGCTTGGCGACAATCGAGCTTGGTGTCCAATTGTTGGTCAAAGTCGCTGCTGACCGCCATCTAGTAGTTGACAAATGCAAGACTCTTGTGCAAGATTCCCAACTTGCTGCCCTGGAAGGGGCCAAAGAAGAAGCTACGCTTCAGCTGCGGAATTTTTACAAGGTATGTTGAATCAGTTTTACCGAGTATCGAATTTCATGAAAAAGCTTTTGACTTCGCCCGAGCAGAGCGAGGAAATTTTTCTCGACATGTTCGAAGATGAATACAACGAGCTCAAGTCGCGTCCGTTGAACGTGGAACAGCTGATGATGGATGCCAAACTCCTGCTTCCTCCGACGCCTACTCCGATGACGGGAATAGAGTTTTCCAAACGACTGCCATGTGGAGAAGTTGAAAGAACACGACGTGCTATCAGAGTGTTCTTCCTGTTAAGGGACCTAACGCTGAATCTTTGCGGGGAACCCGAAACTGAACTACCTTTGACCAATTTGCAGCAGTGTTATCACGTCAATGACGTGCTTGACTTGAGTGAGTCTTGTGGGAAAAGCGTATTCGAGATCACCTGAAGTAAATTTTTTTTTAATTACAGACAATAGTGACATCATTGGTTGCGTTATGGTGACCAAGGACAGACCAGCGAAGATCAGGCGATATTTAGCGATTGAGTCTCTTCAGCTAATCGTTGTTGAGCCACATCCGAGGAAACTTGGTTGGGGTGTAGCGAATTTCGTTGGTTTTCTGCAGGTGAGCGTTTCACATGACAAATTTTCGGTTCGTGGTGAGTGGACTTCTGTTTCCATTTCAGGACATGGAAGTTACTGGGGACAGAGATGATTCGAGAAGTTTGCATGTAGTCTTCAGTCGCTCTGGAGAAACTGGAGCCAAGCCTGCGAAAGGGCCCGTTATGACGGCCAAATTTCTGTTCGAGGATCACATCCGTTGCATGGCAGCAAAACAAAAGTTGGTCAAGATTTGAATGCCTTTGAATAGACTTCGGATTTGATTCTTTCTTACTGACAGACTGACGAAAGGCAGGCAGCTAGCGAGACAGCGGAAACTGCAGCAGATTGCCAAAGTCCTGGAGCTTCCTGGAGAGGTGACCAGTCGCAAGTCGAGTTCCAGTTCTTCCTTCTCGCTTTCTATGTCTTCCGTGCACCGATTTGATCCCAGAGCGCGTGAGTGTGCTTGAACGGCTGCAGGATTAGATAGAGCTTTTTCATTTGGCCGACGATAGATGCAGTATCGATGTTGACGTTTCTGGAGAGTTTCTGTGTTATCCCGTGTTATAACCTAATTTTTCCCGGCTGCGCATGACCCCGTTTACCTCTCATAGCTTTGATCTATGATTCTGTAGCATGAGGCATTTCTCATCAACGCAACAAAAAAAAAAAAAACTGCCTTGTCGCGTCGAAAGAAAAGGCAGTGACAAAGTGGCTACCGATTTCTATAAATTTCATAATGAATGCAATCTGGGAAGTGGAACGCGCTTTGTGCTGACAACTTGTTTGTTTCGTTTCTCATGTTCTTCTCCCTCTGTTGTGCGAATCTGAAAAAACAAACGTTGCAGTATCTGTACTCCTGATTCGCAGGTCGTGGACTCCATCGATGTAATGCAGTTGATGTGACGCATACTCCAGGCAGAAGCTCGAGTGTCAGACATATGGAAACGTCTTCGCCGCAAAGGATGTTTCGCTTGGGTATGCAGAGGGTCCCTGGCAGTGCGGCCCCTGCTACTGCTGTTGTTTCGAACATGCGGCAGCACTCGCCCAACAGAAACAAGTTCAACACCATCCGTGCAGAAGACGTGTCACCAGTGGAGGAAGCGTTGTCAGTGGAATGCGGCATTTCAGGTGAGTGATGGGTGAAGAAGGCGAAACGGTTTTGATGAACGACTAGCGTTGTGACTTGCAGGTCAGCGGGTTAAAGCAACTTCGGCTTCGACGGATTTGAGAGTAGGTTTGGTAAACGGCAGTGAACGGGGAAGCGACCTGACTGCGTCCCAGTCAGGGGACTCTGATTTTGTGACGGGGGGCTTTCAAGGGCTGTGTTTAACGTCGGTATCGGATGCAGACTCTGATAAGGACGAACCACGGATGATTCCGCTGTCCCAAGTGAGTTGAAGCGAGCAGCAGCGGTTTTGAAAAGTCCCAAGCGTTGTCATTGACCTCGAAACTCTTGCTTCCGAGGTCCGAGCGCGCTTCAGACGTCCGGATAGTCCAGTCGTCGATGCGGTGGTTGACGTTGACGAGCGTGTTCCGTCGGGATTCGCGAAAAGTTCATTGAAGTACGGGTACAAGGAGTCTAGAACAGGATCTTTCCCATATGAAGAGCACCAGCAGCAACCGATGATGGCGAGGCTGAATCGCGGTCGATCTCGGCACAGTTCTGGCTGTGAAGACGCGGAGTTCTCGGACACAAATAGGAATAGTCCGAGTGAGTCTCCGCGATCGGCGAATGTGATCAGGGGCAAGGCTAAGATGAGGGTCGAAACCGTGTGATGATCCCCCTGTTGCCGAAGACCCGATGGTGTTCGTGCCTTGCCTTGTGAACGAACGACTGTTCAAGTGTGAATCCTGCTCCTTCTTTTCTTGTGGATATCCCAGACAGAAGCCTGTACGAGGAGGAAAAAAGAAAAACTGGGAAACCGACTGTCTCAAGACATGGGCAATTGTTTGGAGGACGAATTCTTCTGTGAAGGAAACTGTTGTTGGAGAACAGTTCGGGTTGAAGTTTTGGTACCCGTCAAGTCAAGGGCTTTCTTGCAAATCTCTCGGAATTTTTGGTTCTTTTTCCAATTTCAGTTTTATGAGGAAATCTTTGATGTGCGTTGGCCAGTGTGGGTGCGTGGCTCGATCCACGAATGTGTCCTCATGTCGATCATCGTTTTGATTTTTTTGTCCTGTTCATTTGTCACTATGATTTGAACGCATCGGATTATCTCGTGGATTGATGAGTTTCGGATGACATTAAGATTTTTTTTTTCCATGTGATGAATATATTTTTAATATTGAAGAGAGTGTCTCAATTTTTGTCTTCTTTTTTTCGAATTATGAAATAACACGGAACTGGATTTTTCTTCAACCGATTCTCCTAGGTATTTTTATGCTCAAGTGATGGACCTCAGTGTGGATAGAAACACGAACGGCTTGATAGGAAACACGTTGGAGGCCCTGTTGTCGTCATGCGCATCGACAAGAAATTATGCCGAGAGCCAGTTGAAGGCTTTCGAAGTGGTGGAAGGTAGGGCCACTTCTCCATCACAGCATTCAAGGCGGGATGGATGATCATGTGTATTTCTTCCCCCCCCCCCCCCCTCCCGCCGTTTTTAATTGTCAGATTTTGGGATACACTTGGCGTCTATCGCGTTGGACAACACGGGGTTCCAGCCGGTGGCCATGCGTCAAATCGCGTCAGTTTTGTTGCATCAGTATATCGATGCCCACTGGAATTCTGCGAGTGGAAAATTTGTGAAGCCAGAAACGCCTGAAGAAATCAAGCATCGACTCAGGTCGATCTTGCCCCTGGGCCTATCTGACACGGAGTCAAAAGTGAGGACTTCAGTTGCCTTCGCAATTGCGTCCATTGCCGTTTGGGACTGGCCCGACGACTGGCCTAATCTGGCTGCTTTATTGGTGGAGCACGAGAACGTTACCTCGGAGTTTGGTGAGTCTCATCCCTCCTTTCAAACTTGCTCTGCCGTTTCATTGTGTATGATACTAATTATTTGCCTGTTCCTTTTTATTTTCAGTGCAAGGATCCATGCAAGTGTTGTGTGACATGTCGAGAAATATCAGTAGCGAGTCTCAAATGTTGGAGTTCGTACCTCTAGTTATCCCTCATTTGTACCGAGTCTTCGCCGAGAGAGAGGTAAGTATTTCCTCACATTTTTTGGGCGTTGAACGCGAGGACTAATTTTCTGGATTTCATTTAAGAAATACGGTAGTGAAACGAGGCTACAGTCCGTTTCCACGTTCACCAGGATGGTGGAGTCCATTGTGAAGCTTGGAGAGTCGGACAAAGACTGCGCCAAAGCCTTTCTGTATCCAGTCGTCCCTTCTTTCTCGGCAGCTCTGGTTTCGGCCTTGGAAGAGCCCGGGGATGATCTCGAGCTGAGGGCTGAAATTTTGACGTGCCTGAAAGTGAGTCGGACGACGAAGCACAGGTTTTGCGGCGAATACGTGACATGAAATATTTTCAAGGTGCTGGTGAAAAGTTGTCCCAAACTGATGAGTCATTACGCTGTTCAAGTTCTGCAGCCAGTTTGGAAAGCCTTGACTCAATGTGCTGATTTTTACTGTCAAGGAACAGAAGGTGAAACCGACTTTCTTATACTGTTTCCCATTTCTAATTCAGGACTTGTTTTAACAAATCCTGAATTTTTTCGACTTGACGTATGGCTTAATTGTATGGTAATAGGAAGTACTGCTGATGGATTGGAAGAATTCATTTACGCCTTATTCAACTTCGTTGCCGAACTTGTTCAGTCTGCCAAATTCCGAACCTCTGTCGTATCAAGTCTGCCCGATTTGATGTACTATGTGCTCAAGTACATGCAGATCACTGACGATCAGGTGAGCAGTTTTCTTGGAAAGGAATTGCTTGTTCGCACACCTTTCGTCAACTGAACATGCGACTAATTTTTTATCTGTTAGGGTACGCTCTTTCCTTGAACCCCTCTGATGTGCTCCATGTTTTTGTCGCCGTTCTTGCCTCCTCCCGCTTACCCCTTTTTCTTTCCTTTTCCAGGTAGCTGTCTGGTCATCGGATGTGGAGAAGTTTGTTGAAGACGAAGATGAGGAGAGCTTCACTTATTCTGTCAGAATAGCTGCGCAATGCATGCTTTTGGTGAGTCGGCTTACCATTGTGATGGTTAATTATGATGGCAATCATCTTGTCTTCAACCGCTGGATAGAATCTCTTCGAAGACCTGGGCTCGGAAAGTAAAGAAGCCCTGTTTCTGGGGATGAAGCGACATCTGGATGATGCTGGCAAGATGTTCGAGACGGACCCACGTGGACACTGGTGGAAGGTGCATGAATCTGCTTTCTTGGCTGTCGGAGTTGTACATGAGTTCGTGGCGGATGCGGATTCTGCACCATTTCTGAGAGAATTGGTGGATAACTACGTGTCCCACGACTTGTCCTTGAGGGGTCGGTGATTATTACATGCAACCCCGTCGAAACTACTGACGAAAACTAGAAACATCACACTGTATTTGGTGATACACAGGTTATCCGTTCTTGCACGCAAGATGCCTGTGGCTGACGAGCAGGCTCGTCAAGATCCTCCCGGTGGAAACCGCAAGGAACTTTCTGGGAGCTGTAGTCAGCACTTTACAACCGTCTAATGTTGCTGTGATGCGTGTTTCGGCTGCTGCTGCGTTGTACGGCTTTGCAACTTGTGCTGGTGCGTGCGTGAGCTTGGGCTAGAATAGATTATCTAAATTGCGTGATGAAATTAATTCCTTTTTTTTTTGCGTTGTAGGCCTTGCAGTTGACTTTAGACAAGCCCTGCCGACGATCATGGAGCAGTTGTTGCAGCTCTGCACAGGGTATGACGAGGCAGTCATGTGTTTGACTCTGGAGCAGCTGCCGCACTGTCTGGCGGCTGATGCCAAGTTCACTGCGCATATCGAGCCCAGAATCACTAGCTTACTCATGGACGTGTTTAGCAAGCGTAGCAATGGTAAAGGGCATCGATTTTTATATATTTTTTTGGAATACAGATGTTGCAGTGTTCAGCTCTAAATTGCAGATCCAGTGATGGCGTCTTTATGTGAGGAGTTGTTCACGGTTTTGGCTAAGAATAGTCTGTGTCGGGCCGCGATGGAGGAGAAATTGGTGCCGCATTTCTCCGCGGTGCTGTGTGCCGAAGGAAGTCCGGAAAACACTCCTGGTGAGCGTAAGCTTTGCTCGCGGTTCTTGATACTGTACTATTCTGCATTTAATGTAGTAAGGTACAGTATACTGAAATAATGTTGATACTTCAGCCATGAAGAGGGTGATCCTCAAGGTGCTCAGGTGCTTCGTGAGGCATTCCCGAGTTCCGCTCTCCCGGCTGTTGATGAACGAAGCGTTTCCGGCAGTGGTACAAGCCGTGCTGAACACGGAGGATGAAGCGCACACGACAGTTGCAGGCTGCGAGTGTTTGCAAGCTTTCGTTTCCGTCAGCCCCGAACAGGTGCGTGCATTTGGGTTGCCTTGTTTCTCGCAAGTTGTTGAGTGAACTCGTGCTACCGAGCCATGACATATAATTGGAAATCATTTTGCAGGTGATCGGAGCATCGGGTTTGCAGCACCTGATGCATGTCGCCACGCATCTACTGAACCTCAGAACTGCCGAAGGTTGCGGGTCCGTCGTTGGCCGTCTTGTGACAGTCATGTTCACGAAGTGTGGGTCGCAATTGAGCGACGAGCACGTGGATCACCTGCTCAAGGCAGTTTTGACCAAAATGCAAACTTGCCAAACTCAGGCCGTCATGCAGGTACAGTACTGTGCTTTACCAGTCAGAAAAACACAGAGAAGATTGAAAATAATAATAATTGCACTTCAACCCGTCCTTTCCTTGAATAGACATTGTTGATGGTGTTTGCATACGTCATGTTGCATCAGTTGGAAGTTGGAATCAACTTCCTCAGCGCAGTTCCCGGCCCCACTGGAAAGTCAGCATTGGACTACGTATTGCAGGAATGGTGCGCCAGACACTGCCTGTTTTCCGGGAGCTACGAAATCAAAGTCAGGTTGGTATGACCGCCACCTCGTTGAAATTGTCTCGAGGGGAAGTAATTTATTTTTCAAAAGGAAGGGTTTCTCATTTGATTCTTCCTCGCAGTACCGCAGCGCTTTTCCGCGTATTCGAGCACGGAGTGCGTACTGAAGACAAGCACCTGACTGCGATATTTTTCGCCAAGGAAGGAGTGCCGATTTTGGCCAAAATTTTCAAAATATTGGTGGATCAGTTAGCAGTGTGTAGAAGCCTAAGGCTCGCCAAAAACGGAGTTTCTTTCAATGGAATGCAATACCTTACGGGTGCTTTCGAGGAGGTGCAGAGTTTTTGCGCGAATTAAATGCAGTAATTTTCGGAATCGTTTCGTTTTATGATCGAGTTTTTTTCATATCATAGTCGGACAACGGTTGGGAAGATGACGACGATGACGAAGAAGAGGATGGGCTAGATGTGAATTCTGGCAAGAAGTGTGGAGGGGAGACGACTGCGTGCATGACGCTCGACCAGGTGCTCAGTGGTGAGTTGCACAATACTATAGTTCTTTCCTCGTGGCAAAGTGACTGTGCCTTTCTTTTTGTTGTTTCTTTAAATCAGACGAGGGTAATCGGAAATTGGCGCAGATTGTGATGAACGAAGTGGACGGCGACAGCGAAGAAGAATGCGACGACCCGGACGTGCTGGCGGACCCGTTGAACGCTGTGGACCTGGAAAAGTTCATCCGCAAGCGCTTGCAAGAGTTCTCGCGACAACGGAGCTTCCACTCGTTTGCTTGTCAGCTTGGTCCCCTGGAAAGACGAATCCTAGAAAAGTGCATTGAAGAGCCGGTTTGACATTCATAAACCGATTCATGTGTGGGAAGCCTCTCGATGACCGGTAATAAACTGAATTCGGGTTCCTTTGTCGAATTATTTAGTTTCGCCTTGATGAAAATGTTTTCTCGAAGCTTATTTTACTTACAGACAACCAGTACGTGTTTTGTTCGCCACGATCGTTAATCGGTAAGTGAATCAGTGCATGCGAACTTATTGGTAGTGTAGTCCCTCCTCCGGGACAGTTGGTCTTTGACGGTGCGTGACGGCCATGGAAAATGCCGAAGTACCCGTGTATATAATTTGGAATTCCTCGTCATTTTTAGCTTTTCCTTGTGCTCACGATGCACGACAAATCCATGTGCAATTCAGGTTGGATCTGAGTATGAATTCTTCGTCGCATGCTGTACTTTTCATGACTGGGCAATGTCATCGTATTCGAGATTCCTCATGCGTCTTACGAAAGAATGTGTCCCGATTCTGCAAGAAGGAAGATTACCGTCCCTGCTTTCCGAGGTACCTGAAAATTCAAGGAAACCTTTTACAGTATTTTTTTTTTCAATCCCTAAATTGATGCATTACTTAAGATTTACTCAATCTTCATGACTCAAGGGACGAGATCGAGAGCCCCTTCTTGCCGTTGTTTTCATTACTGTATTCTAGTACTGTGTAGAAAGGCCCTTGGACCTAACCCGTATTCCATGTCTCGTAAGAAACATTTTTACTCTAATAGTCTAAACTGATGATGCTTTGTGAATTGCATCAATAACTTGGGATTTTTACAGAAGAGTTTTTAGCTGAATATGTGTAGCGAGACCACTTTATTTGAAAGGTTGACTGAAACATGCTTACTTCCAACCGTTTTATTCATTTCGTCAAGCATCATTTTATCCGAGAACGGTGTGTATGCAATGCATTACATTTTCACTCAGGTCTCCTTTCATCTTATCGAGAAATGTGTACAGCTTAAAGGCGGATTGACGAAGCACAATTATCGGTGGTACTACACACTGCATTTATTTTTGCGTCAATCGGACGCATAAGTCGTGGCACGAATAATTGCGCAGTGGAAACATTGCGTAGAAAAATGTTATTCGTTTGATTTTCATGAAGTATAACAGCTTCATAATTCTGTGTATGACAAAGACCAGCTCATGAGCATCATCCAAAGATGATGGATGTGTTATTTGTATTATAGTGTCGTATAAATCCCCCCGCCCTCCTCGCCAAGGGATTTTCCTTTGACAGGATTTTATTCGCACTATTATTTATGGCTGAAATTATAAGTGCATCTTAAACTTTTGTCCCGAGTAGAGATGAATCAGCGCGCCGTTCTGAAGTTTTTTGTTTGAGGAATGAAATTAGCTCGCATGCTGACATCAGCAGCTATGCTGCATATATATAGCCGCGTTAATTTTGAAGAAACGATTTATATGGAAGGAAATTATTGGAGGACTCTCCAATAATTGTTTGAACTTGAGAAACTGACTCGCATGATTGGAAGGAAATTGTGCCATATATAGTACTGCATAGCATTAGTATGAATGTACAATATAGTATATTCAGCAATCAGCATTGGACATCATCAGGGGCCATCCACGCAGAGCCGCGGGAAAATCCGATGCATGATACGTACTATACTGTATATAGAAAAGTCTTTAATTGAGCCGCTGTGCCGCAATTATATCCGTATCCACCTCCACATCGTATGACGATCGTAGAGTAAGAATCGAGATTTGTAATACACTGTGTAATGCGGCTGCCGCATGCGTGGGGCATCAGCGTGAGTCTGGCCTTGAGAAGCGAATCCCCCCCCCCCCATATACTGATGTACAGCATATACCACATGAGTACATGTATGGGAGGTGTTCTTGAATGCTTGCTGGTGTGTCACGGCTGGTTGGTCGGTCTTCGTCCGCCGGCGTTTTTCCCCGGCCCCGGGTTTTTCCCGAATTCCCTTTAATAATGACTCCCCGGCCCGCATCTGGATCCCCGCTCGTTCGTTCGTTGGATTGGGCATGTACTGTACATGCTGTCAGGGTCGTCAGCATATATTATTGTTATACAGTAATACGTTTGCTGTACATACGCACCAAGGAGGAACACCATCAGGAAAGCATCGGTGCTTTATTATTATTTTGAAATTTCCTGGAACCACAATGCTGCTTGTCGATCGTTCTGTGACGTCGTGCAGCTTATTGTGATGCCGCAATGTCTCTTATACTGTACATGAAAAATGCAACAGCACCGATTATGAAGTTGTACAGAGTAACTCGACTTCTGACCGCTGCTATATAGGTGATGCATTTAATAATATACTGACTTGACTTGCAATCGTACTTCTCATCATGCGGATATAGACCCGATTAAGTCGACAGAAAATTAATTGTAATGACGACGAGAAGATTGAGAAGCAGGACCGACTTCGCTGTATACAATATATACTGTACACTGTTCATGATATAGTAGATCAGTAGAGTATTGTATACTCATGTTCAGTAGTATGGATGATGCTGATCGTCTCTGGGCAGACAGCAGCTAAGCAAGACATTATATACGGTCATATAAATGTACTGTATCTCATCAGCGCATGCAGCAATAAACATCGATCGTCGTGGAGTGTGTACACATAGTTTGTATATAGAGGACAATGCGGTATGTGTATAGTAAACTGCTGCTGCAACTTATTGTGCAACGATGATGAAACGTGCATGGATGATGATGGGCATCGCTCGAACCTTTATTGTTTCATCGTTCGCAGCTGCTGCATATATACTGTATATGTGTGTATATATACGATGCTGGAGAAAAAAGAAGAAGTAGAAGGAAAGCCGCAGCCTCTGCATATACAGTACATGCTGGTGTGCGATGTGCATCTTATTTCGATTGTCTCGAACCCATCTCATCGTGGATCTGCTTGCTGATGCTGTTGTAATCGACCTTTTATGCGTACAATACAGTGTATCCGTGTGTTCGTTATTGTTGCTTGTACAGTACTGTAGTGCTGCATGATGTGCAGGGTAACTGTATCTCTCATTGTTCCGAACGGGATGTATTTTTCGCCAGCACCGTCATCTATATGCTTGATAACCTGCAATAAGCACTTTTGCATGATGAACTGCTGAAGCTCATGTACTATGTATATGTAATGAGAAGCACGTGAATTACAGGGATTGAAGCATATTACTCTGACGATGAATGGGTGAAAAATGTCAAACGATGAATCGTTGCGGGGAAAACAATGTGCTGTAATATACAAACTGCATGATGTGCTTATACTGTACATAATGTACATCGTCCATGCAGCAGCATGCAGTAAAACGTTTTCAATAAAGAATTCCTTTTTATGCATGCGTCCAGCTGATGTGTGTCGTAGAGGAAAAGTTATTATATATACTGGACATATGTACAGTACAGTGTATATATGCATCATCAGGACTTGAAGGTTCTTATTATTTGCATGCATGAAATGGAATTAACTTGCACGTGTCAATCAACGGCAGTAAAAATTCTAGAGCTAGCTTTTTTAAATTGCAGCTAATTATCCTTGTAAACTGCATGTACTGTATATTGTTACTGAAATATGCGGAAAAATGTAAGTATTATTGTACTGACATGGCTTTTACCCTTTTTCGACTCCTTTTGGGTGAAATGAAATGAATCCTATATACTGTACAGTATACTATCATGCTGCTCGGAAAAGTAATTACATTGAAGTACTAAATATACACGAATAAGATTTTTTTTTTAAAAAAACCTTGAATCACACCGTTTCTGCCGTTCAACGATATAACTAACTGTATTATTACTCTGATGCCCGTGGTATAGTAATGTACAGTGCATCATCGGCGTCACCCGGATCGATGATACTACGTGAGAAACCTTGTGCATGCTGGTCCTCGCCTCAAACATGTACGAGCATACATGACCTCTATACCTGCATGAATATACTGTATATATAGGTGATGGATCGACAAGATACGCGTACAGTACATTTACTGTCGACCGTGATTTGAAAGTCGACTCGAGGGAAATAATACGATACTGTAGATGTATAGAGCGTACATCAGCAGGACGGCCGTGCGCATGTGCATGATGATGGCAGGCGTGAAAGCATGCAGAACATATTTCCTATTCTTCCGTTTTCTTCTCACGCGTGCTGTACTGCTGCTACGTCTACTGTACGCAGCTTGTCATTTACACGACAGTGCAGCAAACAATATATAGTTCTCGCTATATACAGAATAGATAAATATCATTAGGGTATAAGGATCTCTGTATTACGGGAAATCGTATACAGTAATGCAGCACTTTCTTCCGTTTCCCACACCACGAACGTGCAATAAGGAGCATCAGCAGCTGGAAAGGCTTGACCCAGCTCTCGCGTCCATATACTGTATACTGTATATACATACGGTGTATGTTCATGCAATGGTCGTTCTTTTTCGGACCAATCGACCAACAAGAGCAGCAGCAGGTATCACGCAGAATAACGGACAAACGTCGTATTTCGGCCGCTTGACTTCCGCCCGCCCATCAGCAGCGTGCACAGTAATGTACTGTATATATGCAAGGTTTATTCAGTGCACATCAGTATTGTATATTATCATTATATGGACCTTGACATGGCAGCGCGAGAGTTCACGGCTTCTCCGTCATTTCCGAAACGCAAATACTATAACCCTTCCCCTTCCTTCGAAATCGTGAAACTCGGCGCTGTTGCTGCTTCTGATGGCGTTGTTTTTATTTATTTGTTTCATATTTCAACTTTTTTTTTTTTTTTTAGCTGCTTATTCGCCATCGCTGTGATTGGGGCAAAATCGCTTGCTTCCTATAGCTGGAAACTCGAGAACAAAAGAAGTGTCACCCATCTACTCAACCAAAGGTTCTTTTTTTTCATGTGCTGTACTGTGGATTGGCCACAAAACAAAACAAAAAATACCGACCTTCTTAATTTATCGTCGTCATCATCGTCAAATGAAGGCTGACTGCTGCTTATACTGATTGATGATGGGGTGTCAATAAGTTATATACACAGTACATCAGTGCACGCCTCTTTCCTGCAGCACAGCATCAGCTGCAGGTATCGTCAGCATAGAATAATGTTGAACCTATTTATTGATCTTCAGCCGTGATGTTCTTTTCTTTTTCTCACTCAATGATAGCCAAAAAAAAAAAAAAAGAATGAGGACAAATCTGAGGCAGCAATGGGACAAAGAACGACGATAACTTATATATACGCATCAGCAGTTGCAGTTGGAAACGGAGCGAGGATAAAGGAAAATGTTGTTGGGCAACGCATTTCCTGTTGAAGAAGAATTTCCAAAAACGGCTTCAGCCCTGTTTCGAACGAGCCGTGTTTACCTCAACGCGAGCAGCAAGATACGAAACCAATAAGAATAGCAAATACTGTAAGTTGGGAAAAAGTTGAGACACTTTTTCCGGTGTCCCGAATAACGACGAAGAGGAAAAGAACGAGGGGAGGAGGACTGAGGAAACCGAAACTGGGTTCTCTGAACTGACCCGAGTCAAGGACGGGGGAATTTCCCCAAGTCTCCCATTATTATTATGCAATAAGTGCTTGTTATTCGGAGAAATCCCGTACAGCAGATAAGGGGAACAACAAAAAAAAAAGAATAGAGACAGTCTATTATTCTGCGTATATACAATATTTCCATTCAACGAGGATTTTCTCAAACCGCTTGCACATACTGTAGATATTTATACTGTACTGTAGCAGCAATAATGTTATTGAAGCATGTTTGCAGATACTGTATACTGAATTTTAGCACTCGACATTGCGAGAATACCAGTACAGTATACTGTAAAAAGTTCGAGACTTGTCTTGCCGTTGTTATTCCGTGAGAATATGTATACGGGTATATATAATATACCGTACTTTTTGTTGCGGCACCGCTTATACTTAAATCGGTGCAAATAAAAAGTAAATAAGTGAAAACACATATTGTACGTATCTTTCCGCCCGCGATTTATCCGCCAGCAATTTCACGCATATGTATATTGTTATTTACCTTATATACAGTACTTATGCATAGAAAAGCACTGTACTGTAATATAGGATGATATACAAGCTTTGCGGAAAGCCATTATTATTAATTATGTGTATGTGAACATGGACTGAGCAGACAATAAGAAGCACCTGCAAAAATGTATGCAGTACAGCATACAAAAAATAAAAGAAATAACAAGAAAACGGGCGACGATGAGGGGGAATTTCGGGCGCCGTGAGCAGCAGCAGCAGCAGCAGCAGGATCCTGTGGTGCTGATTGCCGCCCCTGCTGCTGGTATAAAAGCCGGGCGGGGTTGCTTCTCAAACTTCAGTTCCAAGTCTGGTCAGCAGCGGGAAAGAACCAATTCATTCCAACAACCAACTTGTCGTGGTCATCCTCTCCATTTTTTTTTGTCTTTCATTTTGCCAAAGCAAGCCAAAACATGAAGTTTCTCGTGAGTCATGCGAAATCATCATCATTCATTAATTCATTCATTCATTCCTTTTTGAATAGTAAAAGCAAAAAGGAAAAGAGATTGAGGTTCGATTCAGTTGGACAGCAGCAGTCACGGTTTAATTGAAGAAGCCAGCGATTTTTTTTTACTCGATACTATTTGTACCATGAACCCCATTTCGTTGGATTCAAAAAAAAAAGAAGCTCTATTCATATACAGTACTGTATTTGTATTCAAAAACTATTTCGGGCTACTGCATTACCGCATTATTGTACAATAATAGAAGTAGATCAGAGTTAACCCCAATAATAATGTAGGAGCAGCAGCAGCAAATAATTGCGGAATTGCAATACTGTACTGTTCCTGATGATGAACAGTGTAATATCTACTAAACTAAACTCTTATATCCATGCTGTCCTCCTTTTCATGGATGCGTACGAGACACATGTCGTGTTATTATACTTATTTACACATACTGTACTGTATATTTGCTGTATGTATATTTACTGCTGGACAACAGGCAACCCTGATGCTGTCCTCGGGCCTCGTCGTGCTGGCCTGCGTGATGTGGCAGGCGCAGGCAGCAGAGGACTCGGCTGAGGCCAAGTCTGTCGCTCAAGAAGGGGCCGTGGCCGTGGAGGCCAGGTCGGGTGATGGAGACCTGCAGGGCGCCCAATCCCGCAGCTTCTACGGCGGCGGAGGATACGGGGGCTATGGCAGCTACGGCGGCCTCGGGGGCTACGGAGGAGGCTACGGAGGAGGCTACGGAGGAGGCTACGGCGGAGGCTATGGCGGTGGCTACGGCGGCTACAGACGCCCCTATTACGGCGGCGGATACGGTGAGAATATATTCACTACTACATACTGTACTTATACTCTTCCATACTACAATACGTATTACCGTCTATATCGTTTGCAAAAGCGATGAGTTAAGGCACAGCATATACAAGCATGAATCATCCAGCACAGTATATAGGGGCAATAACATATTGAAATGTTCAAAGAAGAACATGTTCCTCGATCTGCATGCTGACAGCTTAATTATAGTTGCTGCTGCTGGTGATGCTAGAATCTTCCATCCATCTTCGTGTGTTGCATTTTCCGAGTGCAGTGCTGATATGAGTATGTACGTATAAATGCACAAAACAGGCGGCTACGGAGGCTACGGCTACGGACGAGTCTACGGCGGCCGAGGGTACGGCGGTGGATACGGTGGCGGCTACGGAGGCGGCTACGGCGGCGGCGGATATGGCTGGTGATGGATGGGACCTGTGATTGGCCAGCCATCATCGTGTGATGCCTGTCGATATAAGAAAGACCGCATAATTTGCGTTTCATCCACCGCTCGAAAGACGAGGGAGCAGTGAAAACAAATTAAGGAGATCATCATCCCATGCATCAAAATGGGCTTTTTTTTTTTACTGCATCCTGATTCTGAATAAAGTTCTCTATATTTCGATCAAATTATGAAGTCTGATGAATTGTCATTTATTCAATAATGCACACATTCTGATCGGGAATACGCACGATGAAACGGCGAAAACTTCAAATTATTCTATTTTTGGTTAGTTACATAATTGAGGCTCATCATCTTCATGCAGCTCAGTTTTTGAATTTTGTTGATATCGAATCAGTGACTAAACGTCCCCGCAGAGTATCTCTATATAGAATCTCACCTTGAACAATGCCAAGTAATCCTTTTCCCGTGTACAAAACATCAGGTATAACTTTCCTTTGTATATAGCAGATTGCAACAATTAAACTCAATTTCACTGGCCGTCAAAAAGGAATCCTGGATGGGAGACCAATGCTGAGGCTAAATTAGCAGACCATCACGTCGACATACTGTACTGATCTGTATTTAAAAAAAGAAGTTCACGGAGTATATAAGAAAACGTGAGGGCCTCGAAAATTCATGTCTACAGATATCTTAAAACCGGATTAAAAGGTGGAATATATAGCAGTAACCAGCAAACCCAAGTACAGTATTCATTTGAAGACAGCATCAACGAATGAAATTCCAGTGCATCCCCAAGAATGGAATACTCTACTGTACTTGCATGAACAAAAAAAATCGAATCCGGAAAGATTTCTGTTTTGGTTTAAAAATGTAAACAAATCAAATGCATTTTCCCCGCTTATAATACAGTAAGTTGTTAATTTAAACAGAAGATGACAAATAATTCTCATCATCATCCCTAGGGTATGTGGAAGAAAATATTGCATCTCCATTCAGAAAAAGGCCGATGCATTCATTAATGCATCAGCAACACAGTCCGAGCTCTTCTCATAAATCCTGGTGATTTGAATATTACTGTACCGATGTACAGGAGTTGAAATGCGCCTTCAATGAACGTGGTTTCACCATAGTACTGCACAGCAGGCGTATATATACACCGTATACATACGGTATTTGCGGCTGTCGGTAAAAAATGACGTAACGTATTCCTTTAGACAATAATATACAGTACTGTGCTGTAAGTACAATTCAATAGAAGTCTGGTCGCTCACTATTTTCATATTCCCGAGAATTTAGGCGTCAATTTCGGAAATTTCCCCTTGAGGCATTATTCCACCTTTTCTTTCTTCTTCTTCCCATGCCCTTTGCGCGCAAAAAGTGAATAAGTAGCACCAAGAAAAAGAATTAAAAAAAAACGCACCTTTCCGATGATGAGCTCGTGGATCTTCCTCCTCCTTTTCTGCGAAGCTGGGATGTAATGGTGCCATGCACAAAACCGAAGGAATGGAATATTCTTCGACCATGACATCAGTCTCGAATTTGCGCTCCCCAAGAAGACTTATTACAGTATTGCTCTTGGAATATATACTCGTTTGTGTGTTCGAAAAGAAACTCTTGATTTCATCCAAGAGATGTGGTTCACTGTGAGTGCTTATTTCGTTTGATTATTTTTCTCTCTCATCTTCGTCCATCCTTGATTCGATTGTCGTATCGTGTGCACTATATGCACGAGATGTCTGAAAATGTAAACCAGCAGACTATAATGACCAAGTGAATAATTTCATGGTCCATCCATATATATATATATAATACACATACGAATGAAGTATAGTTATCGAGATAATAATGGTAAGAACATCGCACGACGCGTGCTGGTGTGCGCAGATCGTACAACTATGCAGAGAAACTTTATTCAAGCCAAGTGTTTCACCAGCTCTGATGATGATATGAAAAACTGCAATGTCAAATATGCGTATAATGCCATCCTTTCTTTTCGTTTAAAGTCCATGGATTAACAGGACGAACCGTGAATCTTGTCTATTCCCCCCGACGATGGCGGTATATATACGGAGTAAAGTATACTGCGCAGTATGTAGGACCTTTTTGGACGCCCTGTTTATTACAATATGTATGTGTACATAAGACTTGTGTCACTGTACATATTATTCAGCAGCAGGCAGCGTATATGGAATATAGAAAATTAAGAAGAAAATCACCATGTTATTATTCTGATGATTCAACGTACGTCCTCCCCGCCCTCCTTTTCGTATTGTGATGCATCAGGTCAAGTTCCTGATGATGCTGCTTGTCGTCGGCGTCGCCTTCTTATTGGGCCATGCCGATTGCAGATCCGCTGCCCAACTGAAACCCGAGCTGATTGAAGTGGTGGACCCTCATCATGAACAGGAAGGAGAGCCCGGAATCGATCTGGACGGCGCCGAATCCGCCTTCAAAGGCTTCAAAGGCTTCAAAGGCGGCTGGGGCTACGGTGGAGGTGGTGGTGGTTACCAACGTCGCTGGGGCGGTGAGTCCAATACATATAGTACAGTACAGTACATTCACTGTCGTATACGTACCTGTAGAAGTGTTCCGCGTCGAGTGACGTCACTGCCGACGTTGCTTTATGGAAACGAATTCGAGTTGTGGAATGTATGTTTTATGCATAAATAAATAAATACTGTATTACTGTACTGTATATACAGGTGGATATGGAGGATTCGGCCGCGTCGTTTACGGCGGCGGTGGTGGATATTATCCACACGGACACGGATACGGAAACGGCTACGGCTACGGGTACGGCTACGAGCCTGTGGGATTTTACGGTGGATTCTATTGAAAATTCACGCGAGTCTCTTCCGGTATCTCTGCGTGTGTGACTTTGTGTGTGTGTGTGTGTGTGTGGAAAAGCCGCTTTTATCGTCAATTGGAATAAAATAACTTTTCTTGAAACCTATATAAACACAGGGTATAAGTAACTTTATTCTCGAGAAGAACGGTGAGTTTTAAAAAAAAAAAAAAATGCGGAAAGCAGGAAAAATGTAAGAAGCGAATGGAAAGTTTTTTGTGGAGATTCTGGGAACTTACCTCTTCTTCACATATTCTATATATACTGTATACGGAGGAATTATTGAATGGCCTTTTCGGGAAACCAACCGCGTGCAATAATGGAAAGCACAAAGATGATGGCGGGGTATTCCGTGATTCGAGTCGGGATTTTCCCGTTTCGTCGTCGTGCATCAGTACTCCGTACAATATTGCTGGGATAACAATATGCCGTGCGTTTTACTCTTTCAAAACACGAAAGAGGACTTGGAATGATATTTTTTCTGTAATAGACTTATGAACGATGAGTGATGCTGACCGGGATTTATTGGCGACAACGGGATCCAGCACAATACAAATAAATATCCGAAATACATTGTTGATATATACAGTACAATGACACAATTCCGAAACTGGATCACTATACAATACTGTATAGGTATAGTGCGTCGTCGTCGGCGTTCTATTCTGTTATTCTCACTGCGATTTCAAAAGCAGCCATTCTGTTCAGCAATAAATGCCTGCTGCTGCACCATAACGTTGAAAACAATACACACATTGTGTTCCTTCGGACGATGAGGAAAAAAGAAAAGGACAGCAAGAAGAAGAAGATACGTGCGGTACATACACACACACACACACAGACGTGTGCTGGGGATGAAATCAGTGAGGAATTCCACCTGCAGCAATCTACTGATGCTGCATTCACTCGGCCTTCCAGCACAAGGTGTGTGTGTGTGTGTTTTGTTTTCAAAAATGTCATTATTCCGATCGGTTTCACCACCACCGCCGCAATGCAGGTGCATACATATAAAAATGGACCCGGGTTCCCGCCTGAGCTCGTCAGTCCACACCGTGCATTGGTCACGACCACAAGCGGCTGAAACGCCGATCGATCAGACAGAGCGTATATTAAAGGACTATTATAAAATCACACCAGTGACACGTATAAATCAAGCAATCGACCCGCGTGCTTACTCGTCGACAGTTGTACCTATAATAATACCTGAGAGAAGAAAAAAAGCAAGAGCTCTTTTCTCGACGAGTGTTACACCAGCAACAACAACAACAACAACATGAAGCAAGTGAGTTTCCATATCAGCAGTTTATTCATCACCATCATCTATCTCCTCCCTTACAGAGTATACCCAATTTATCGACTAGTCCATGAATTGGAAAGCGTCTAGCATATGCCTGTAAATCAAGAAGCAATTTATTGTTGATTGATTGACGGCGTTTTTTGTTTTTGTTTTTTGTTTTCAATTCTTTGGCATGCATGATGCTCCGTCACACTCGTACATATATGTGTATATGAATGAAGCAGATGAAGGTGATGCTGCTCGGTGCTGTGGTGGTGGTGCTCGTGGCCCTGATGCTGGCCAGTAGCACTGAGGCCGCAGAAGAGCCAGCAGCAGCAGCAGAGATCGAGAAGAAGTCGGACTTGGACGGGGCCGAGTCCTTCTACGGCTACGGCTACGGGTTCCCGGGTTACGGCTACGGCGCCAGGTTCGGCGGCGGCTTCTACCCTGGGTTATACGGTGAGTATATATATAACTGGTATATATAGATACATATACTGTATACAGCATATATTATCACATACGTGGAAGCCAGCGGAAATTAGTAATAAGACAATGATCTATCTATCTCGGGGTTAATTGTGGAAACAAACTCTTACTACTATACCGCCGAATTTAAAGATAAGAGAGAAAAAATGAGAAGAGCACAGCAGCCATTCCCTGTAGATGCTACTTTTGTCACCGTTTGTTTTGCCATTTGATGTCGTCTCCATGCATCGATCCGCTATTACTCCAATCCATGTCTTCCGTGTATTGTATACATGTATGTAATGCATGGTGCTTGCATCAAGCATTGCGTATTAACGTTCACTGCATATACATGATGCAGGAGGATACGGCGGATATGGCGGCTATGGCGGCGGCTACGGCTACGGCGGCTACGGATACGGACGGTTCTACGGAGGCGGTTACCCGGGCTTCTATGGGGGCTACTGGTAAAATGCGGGTGAAATGCCAGCAACGAAAACAACAACAACAACAACACGCGGATTCATTCATTCGTGCACACAAACAAACACACACGCACACACACCATGCTGATGGAGAAGAAGAAGAAGAAGAAGAAAAACGATAAGCCTTACAGCACCGACCGCCGCGATACTACAGCATAGATGATGGAAACCTCGGTCGACATGATTCTCCTGCTGCTGCACGCGCCGTTCACGTATTGTTATTTTGAAGAATCTCCCTGATACGAACCTGTTGTTTGTTGGTTCTTTCGGAATGTTATTCCCCCCTCATCTACCTACCGTCAGTTCGTCACACGACATTCCTCACGTTTTTCTCTTCGTTTTTGCTTCTTCATTTTCTTTTCAAGGAACAATCGGATTCCTCTTTTGTAATGCGGGAAGTTGACACGTACTGCGCTGTGTTTTTGCCGATTTTTATTTTTTATTCCCCCCCCCCCTGCGAAATAATAAGTACTGTATACAGCATTACGATTGTGTTTGTATCGCCGCGTCTTTGCTGCATTGCCTCGTGTTCTTGTCTTTCACTGGAGATGATGATCATAATGGAAATGAAACTTATACACCCACAAATTTGCATATTTTCTCTAAATAATTGGGAAAAAAAAGAATGCCCACCGCAGAGTTATACACAGTACACCTGTTGTACGTTGAACGAAGAAAACTATATTTCCTCGAAATAGCGTCCAACGTTTTCGAGACAGGAAAAAATAAATTAGGAGCCACACGGCAAAATCAGCAGGAAAAAGGTCATGTTTGCAAAGCGAAATATGGCAAACCTTTGAAGATTTTTCCTTCACGCTGGATTTGGCACAACCTCGAGGAAATTTGCCATGGCCAATGATGATGAGGAATGACAGAATAAATAATGTCGCAACTCAGTAATTCGTGGGCCATGCTGGGCAAAAATCGGCCGGGTCATGTTCGAATAATATCCTTTTCTTTATAGTTTGAAAAATAACGACGACGACCAGGAGTAATTTTTTAGAACCTTTTCATCGTTCTTCCGTTTGAGAAAGAAAAAAAATTACGCTTTCCTCATGAGATTATTGATGTCTCTTGTGTGATACATTTCCGCGTTCAGTTCCTATTTTTTGCGGTGATTATTATTATGCACACTCAATGGTCTACACTCTACAGTATATATAAACATCTACCAAGCATTGGTTTCGGCGGATATTAGTGAGTATATAGAGAAGAAGAATTATTTTGCCGGGATTGAGAAAATGTAAGCCAGAAGTTGTTTACGATTGATTCACGAGCAGGGGTGTTAATTGCGCCACAATCCTGCACAATCACAAGCACAATCAAAATTGCAATGCTTGCGATTTTGATTGTGCACTGAAAAATTCCTGAAGGAAGCTTGCGATTTCGATTGCACTTAATATTTTTCCCCACTTGCGAATTTGCTTGCGATTTCGCAAAAGCAAGACCATCGAAATCGCAAGCCTCATTCCATTCCAAACAGATGGCAAAAGTAGTTCCCATCATGGCGGCGCCCCTAATAAGAGGGGTTTCTGCTGAACACCCCTGGTTTTGGCAAATTCCGACTTCCAAACCAACGAATTTCAAGGCATTTATACCAGCGTGGTATTAATGCCTTCAATTCCAGTGTGGTTTGAAAGCAATATGTATATTGATCAATATTTTGTGTACGATACTAGTACACTACAGTACTGTATATATACTTGCAGCTTATACTTGCTGGCTGTGCACCACACATGCTGATGCTGATGCTGGCTTTTGCTGATTATGTGTTCATCGAGTGTATAGATTCATAGGGCTTCACTGCGTGTAGTGAACTCATGCAAAGGACTCTTAGAAATTTCATCTTCCAGGAGAGCAAAACAAGGGGATAAGATTAGTAAACCTTCGAAATCCTTACATTCAATGCCATATGAAAACTGTAAGCAAAGTCTGGAACCAACAGTGCAGACGCTTGTTCACTGGAGTATTTTGAAGTTTGAATTTGCTTCAGTTTCAAAAAGCCTGCATGATTTTGCTTGTGAGAAAACGTTTTTGAAGTGTTGCACCAGAGAAGTCTATCCAAGTTTATGCTACTCCATGCTCAAAAGGACTACTACAAAAAGTCAAGGTAGGTTCACTTTATGCCTAAGGCATCAGCAATAATGCATACAAAGAAATCTCTCACTAAATTTAAAATATTTCCTAGAGGTGAAGAACGCCAATTAACTTTTCTGATCATTGCAGAAAATGAAAAAAGCTAGAGGATGACAGTGTTTCTTTCAAACTAAGTTGTTCATTGGAAATATCCATTTTGGCAGATGTCAGGAACTCAAGAGAGCCCACTTTTGAAAGATTGCGGCAACACTTGTGATTTTGATTGTGCAAAAAAGGAAAACACCATAGTGATTTCAATTGTGCAAAAACTTGAAGGTGTAGCAGCACTTTCGATTTCAATTGTGCAAAATGTGTTATAGCAAGTTTCGATTTTGATTGTGCAACTGAAATTTCGATTTTGATTAACAACCCTGTTCACGAGAATGACTTACTGTTATGAAATGATAAACCACCAGGTTTTGTCCTTTAAAAATAAGATTGAAAACGCATGAGATTCTGAATTATTTTTCTGGGACTCAAAGAGGTGTTTTCACGCATGAATATTCTTTATGATGCGTCAAGACTTTATTCACCTTGTAAATAAGGTCTGTTTTAAAAAATGTAAATAATGTGGAGGGAGAATGGACAGTAAAGCAGTGCATACATATACGTCATTCAACAGTTCCTTCGAAGTCTTGCGTTATTCAGTGTTGGACTCTTCCTCGATGAGTTTGTTGTTCTTTGAATCGAGGTCTTATTCCAATAAATGACTTGTTTTTCTTTTGTTACGCCGGCGATGATCTCGTTTTTGTTGTTGTTGCTGGGAAACAATGAGATCACATTTGCTATACAGCTGATTTTACTTGGGAAATGTTATACTGTAGCTTTTCTTGCTGAAATCAAGAACTTGTTCATTTGCTTAGCCTATATATCCAGCATTGTACAGTTCTGTACAGTATTGCACAAGTTCCAAGATACTGTACTACCATGCAGCAGCAGCAGTTCGAGAAACAGATCTCGAGTATTGGAGACATGTCCTCGAGGTCTTTTTTCGTGAGACACAGCAGCAAACAGATACAGTACAGCAGTACTGTAAATGTAGGTGATCGCGGTAGGAAAATGTTCATAACCCGTCATGAAAAGCCATGCATTCCTCATTCATTCGTTGAAATACAGCATCCGCAACAAGTAAACTGCAACTATATTCAATCAATCGCTTGACTTGCTTTTCATCGACATGCAGTATAATAAGGTAAATGCAGACCACTGTGGTACACATAACGTGTTGTCAGATCGTCCAGACAAGTGGGGAGCGCTCCCAATAGAGGTGTTCTCGACAACGAGGACGTTTCAAGTCTACCCAAGACTCCGACCCCCTAGGACCATGGAAGGATACCCAGTCATAATGCAGTGAAGAGAATTCAGTTAGGTAAGTAGTAACCTTCCCCAGGCTAACGGTGCCCTTGCCTGGGGGTTCATTATTTTCATATACAATATTGTACAGTACAGTACATGCAGTAGCAGTGGTAATTTTGGCACCCTCGATCGTTTGGAATCGCTTCTTCTATCTGGCCTTTGTATCTTCCAAATAACGCCGAGACTAATTTGTTGGTTGAATGAAATGAAGAGATACGGAAGTCTGCCAGCAGAGCAGGTTTTTGATCAGTCCGCATGATATTATGTCGGGCGCAAACGTTGAAACAGTACAATATACTGTACTCTTCAATAGAGTTCTATATACAGGCATAATTAACGCCAGGAAAAAGGTAACTATTAATTCCCGAATCTTTCATCGTACGTGGAAAAAATTGCGGGGATACTGATGTGCATTAAAAAGGGCTGGTATATATGGGTCAGTATGGAAGGGATGAAGCTGATGTCAGTTAGAGGAAGCAACTATTGTACTGTCGACACTTTCATTAATGTACGGCATGTCAACAAATGTACAGTACAGTACAGTGAAGTAAGATGACTTATAGAGTCTATACGGTTCTTTCACGCAAGTTCACTGTAATATTTGGGATCGAACCCTGGCTGCTTGGCATTTGATCACATAGAACGAAGAGAGTCAGTCATTCATTCCTTCCTTCATTATACCTACATGCTTGAAGGGCTGGCAGAATGCCCTGAACATTTGTCCCCCGGGATGACATGAATTCCTCGAAGGAATTAAAATACGACTGAAATTTTCAATTGCAGCTCAGTATACCACCACCACCACCATCATCATCATCATCTTGATCGACAATCAAGGACCATTCGTTCACAGCTGATATGCCAGGAATAAGAATCGGAAATCATGCAACTTTTCGTATACGTCTCGAAAATTGGAATTGGCCTTGGTTGCATCTGCATGTGCTGCACGTTACTACACCCTAACTAATTCTCTTTACTGCGAATACTGTCCCATAGGTTCCTACCAGGATCCCCCACCCTCAGAACCCATCTGAACCTCGCGGGAGCAACAGCTCACGTGGGGGATACCCCTCGCGGAGGGTATTCAGGCCACCGAAACTGAAGTACAAATGTGTACCAGTAGGCTGAATTACCTTTCGTGAAGATTTACCTACCAGTGATCATAAAATAT